CTCCAGAGCTCTACACAGGCATGGCATCTGCTGTTCATTAGGAAACATACCAATCGTATAGAAAGTCCTCATAACAGATTAATGAGGAGGTAACCAAATACATTTCTACATTCAAAATACAATTACAGATTAGACTCCTGTTTCAGAAACACACAGAGGGCTGAGTTAAAGGAGTATTCAAAAAACCATAAACACTACAGCAAACCATAAACACTACAGTAGCTAGGGTTCCAGGAGCGGCCCGGTGCTCCCCCCTGCCCTCCAATGCAAGTAGACATTCCGCTCCAGAACGGCACGACCTCCCACCCGGCGTCTTCTACCACAAGAACGGCACGACCTCCCACCCGGCGTCTTCTATCACTAGCTCTCCTGAGCTCAGCCCGGCAGTGAGGGACCAGCTCATTGGCTGAGAGTTTCAGCACAGCCTTGCCACGCTAAGCTCGGACAGCTTCCGTCTCTAATGTAGGCTGCAGTGGAGATAGGGAGCAGTGCCCAGCGGACCCCGGGCAAGAATCAAACCATGCCAAAACAGTTTGACCACCCACATTGGAGATCACCAGGGCACTCCTGACACCATAACCACTAGATTGCCTTTTAGTAGCTATGGTGCTTGGAGTACTCCCTCAATTAAGATTGTGTTGCAATCCATATTGTGTTTGCCACCTATTTTCTAATAACAATGAATACCTCAACAAATGTTTTTTTTTTGTAAATATATTTTTATTGAGGTTTTCAAGTTTTCAATTTGTCAGATATCTTTGAGCAAGCTTCAGTTAGGACACGCAGGTCCCGTCAGTGTGAAACATTAACTATCATTTTGGGAAGCGTTGTTCGGCCAGTTATACGTTGGTGACACGCAGGTCACAGCATGGCACGTATAGTTTCCCTTTCTCTCACTTTTATTTATTTATTTTCTATTTGTAAACATTTTTATGGAATAATTTTCAACTTTACTTCGAGAAAAAAACAAAAACAGTAGGAACTCACAGGTCCCATATGAATATTGTGTGTTCGTTTAACTAAATGAGACATAGTGCATCTTAACATAGTGCATCTTAACATAGTGTGGTGACACGCAGGTCACTTATGAGAGCTGATGGTAGAGACATAATGGACTCGTAGGTCCTAATAGAGGTTTTCAGTCTCTAGAGTGATAGTGTGTGTGGTTCGCTCAGGGGTCTCCTGTTGTCTATCCCCATCTTGGGTGTTGGTGCATGAGTCGGCTGTGGCGGCTTGGGTTCTATGGGAGGTCCGTATGGTGTTGTTCATCGGGTTTGGGAGGTTGTTGCGAGTACAGTACGCTGCTACGTCCTGTGGCCTCATTGGTTGCGTTCGTGGGGCGGCTGTGTGTTGGTGGTGTGTAGATCCTATGAGTGTTGTGGTTGTAGTGTGTGTAGTGTGTGTGATTTGTTTGGGGGAGGTAAAGGTAGAGGGGGGACCCCCCTAACTCCCTTCCCCGTCCGCCGCGTCCCTCTCATCTTGTCTCGCCACGTACATTATCCAAGGTTGCCATTTGTCAACGTGTTTCGTGAGGGTGTCTCGTATGGTCGCGTGCATTTCTTCTGCGAATCTGATCTCTTCTACCCTGCTTAGCCATTGTTCCATTGTAGGGGCGTTTGTCGTTTTCCATAGGGCAGGGATTAGAGCCTTGGCCGCGTCGAGAAGGTGTCGTAGGATGGATCGTTTATTTTTTGAGATCGGGTCTTTAGTGTGATGCAGGAGAGTGTTGTCTATTGACAATTGCATCGTGTCCCCTAGTACGTCTTTAATGCGAGCCGTAATCTGGTTCCAGAACGGTTTGATGTTGGGGCAGTCCCACCAGATATGTTTTAGTGTTCCGATATCTGTCTCACATCTCCAACAGGTCACATAACTTTCTATTAATGTGCTTTGATACAGCACTTTGGGAACATCCAACTTCCTTTGCAATTACCTTTTGAGGCTTTCCCTCCTTATGGAGGGTGTCAATGATGGTTTTCTGCACAACTGTCAGGTCAGCAGTCTTCCCCATGATTGTGAGTCCTACTGAACCAGACTGAGAGACCATTTAAAGGCTCAGAAACCCTTTGTAAGTGTTATGGCTTACTTAGCTGATTAAAGTGGGACACTGTGAGCCTAGAATATTGCACCTTTTCACAATATTCTAATTTACTGGGATTGTGGATTTAGGGTTTTCATGAGCTGTAAACCATAATCATCCCACTTATGACAAATCACGGCTTGAACTATCTTGCTTTGCATGTAATGCGTCTATCTCATATAATAGTTTCCCCTTTTATGTTACATTACTGAAATAAATGAACTTTTGCACAATATTCTAATTTTTCGAGTTTCACCTGTACAGCACTGAATACAATGCTTTCCTATTGGGAAGCTTCGATGCACTCACGGCACTCACCGTGCATGCTCATCAGGTCCCCATTGTTCTTCTATGAGGACCATTGGATTGGACCATCTCTCAAGGAGGCCATACCTCCTTGACAATGTCACAGGAAGCGGAGAGGTGAGAAGCACTGAGGGAGCCTTGCCACTGTAAATAGGTAAAAAAAATCTTTGATTTTATTAATATTTTGGCAAATGGAGAGAGGGGGGAGAGAGACACTATAGCGTTAGGACAACATGTTGCATTTCTAATGCTATAGCGTTCCTTTAAATAAACTTTCTTCTAATACAGAGTAGTGCAAGTATCTGTCAGTGAGAAAGTATTTTTATGAGTATACTTATGTATAAAACAATACTTCTTGGTACATAAAAAGCAGATACTTTTGCACATATTTATCTACCTGTCTATCTTGTTTGTCTATTTCTATGTTTCTGTTGAAGTTTCCGGTAACCTTTTTTTTCAAAGATTAGGTTCCTTCTGGACACATATGTTAAACATCTGAGAAAAAGAGCAAAAGTGCAAGAGCATGGGATTCTGGGTAGTTTTAAACAACATAATAATAATAACAAAGTATTTAACCAGGAAAGGTTCAATTAGATTACTCTGGTTTTCAAGCACGTCCTTGGGATGTTACCTTAGCCTAACATCCAGGGGTTGTTACTATTACCCAATTTAATGGTACTTGTGGACTTTTTGAACATATGAATGCTGTTTAGGACAGCTTTATAAACACCCCCTACTGAAGAAATGTAGCTCCAGAGTACTCTGAATAGTTTGTTATGTAGTGTGACAAAATCCTCCTCTAAAATTCATGTAAAAGATGTGACGACTTAAGAGTTACATGGATCTCCAAGACAGTCCAAGGGCACAATTTGTAATTTACATGGTTTTACCTTCACTAAAACTCTCATAGACCTAGTCAGACCCATACAAAGAAGATGGAAATAAGGCTGAGATATACCTAGTATAAAAGTGAATGAAGGGGTATTGCTAAGTGTGGGACACACGCTAAACCTGTCATCACCAACACGCAAGGCTTACATGTTGTAGCTGACAAAGGACACGTGCCAGCCTGGCAGGTATGTAAGCCAGTATCTAGGCGTCCGAATGAAAACTCAGCAAATTCTTGTTAGTTTCTTATCTCTGAGACATTGCTTTCTGTGTTCCTAAGACATGATTTAGATAAGATGAAGGAAATGTAAATAAATATAAAGTCACCAAGTATGATCTCATCGGGTATAATGGATACACGGAAATCATAGAATGAAGCTGACGTCAGTTAATGTTTAAATTAAAAACTTACTCTGCAAAATAGGTACTTTATTGCAAGGTGTCCATGCATAGGTTGGAGCCCAAAACCTGAAAAAGAAATACAAAAGTTGATTTTAACTTGGCCTACTTTGCTGATGCAGTGTATGCAGGTAATTATCTACCTGGTGGTAGGGGTTCTGTAAAACTATTTGCTTTAGCATTTCCTATTCCCTTGGTTGCAGTTTTCCTGATTCTGTGACCTTGCTCAGGTGTCCAATATTCCATCACATCTAGTTCCAATTACTTGTTTTATTTGTTTCTGTGTAGCCTTGTAGCAGTATTCATCTTGGTTCCAGCTCATGCATTTTCTGTAGTTCTGACCATCTAAAAGTATGCTCACATTTCTGTGGCTACAAAAACCTGGGGTTCAATATGATGAGAGCTTTGGATGTAGGTTAATAACTTCTTAGTATGTCTTAAATATGCATTTGTCAGTCCTCTACATTTTGCACTACAGAGTCTTCACTCTTCTATGTCATCAGCCCTGTTGAAAGCAACGCATGGATAATTTCCTTGTGTTCTCTGCTCTCTGTCTATACTGGGGCCAGGCCATAGTGTTTCCCATAATCACACTGTTTATATTTGTGTAAACAATATAAATATGACAACTAATTATACATTTCCCTCTTCACACGTCTGGTGGATGGCGTGTTAAATACTATTTAAACTTCCTTGAATAAACAGACAGAATCTTGTTTCATTAAGGAACTGAAACTACTTATTGTGGAAGCATTAGTGGCGTTTTTGTTCTTATTAATTCTATGTTTATTTAAGATGATAGTGTCTTATGTTCTTGGAATAATCTTATTGTAAAATCACCACCGTGACTCATTTGTTAGGCGTACAGTATAAAACAAATCTTAATATTCAAAACACCTTCATTATATTCTTCTACTTGCCAGAAGGTTGTCCATTGCCCTGACGAAGCCAATGTTGCTACAGTAAATTCTTAATTGTGGACAATTGCCTGATGAATACAACGTGTCTATTCCCAGCATTGTGGACTAGCTGAAATACCATGTAGACCCAGTTCTATTGAAACTCCTAAATGGCAGCACATTGATCAATGTAAGACTGCAGAAGCTAAATCTATGCACCAGAACTATTTCATTAAGCTAAAGAATTTTGGGTGCTTAGAGTGTCCATTTAAGTCTATATACGCACTTATAGAGCAGCACTGGATCACCCTTTGAAAACTGTGAAGTTTGGTTAATATAACACTTTTTTTTCTTTAATCTTGTTTTTTATTGAAGATTTTATTATATGCAATTACAAACATTTGATATTGGAAACCAACTAATAACCAGTCACAACAGTTATAAAAAAAAAATCACAGTTCACGGGACCCAACGATTGAAAAACAAAATGTATAGTAAGACTCGCAGGTGTTTTCAGGACATGAAAACATACATTTAATAATTATCTGTAGAGAATGAAATATACATAGGAAATGAACATATTGACGCAATAAGTTTTCCCAATATTAATAATGCTCCACAGTCCTGCTTGGAGCAAACAACATGAGATAATTAGAGGAGAGGGGAGTAAGGCAGAAAAATAATATTACTTTGTGTGTTGTTGGTTTTTAAATTTCACAGACAAAAATTTCTCTTTATAAAACACTAACATGTCAGATTATATATTTTTACTTTTATTTACATATAAAACATTTGAAAATAGTTGGCAGCATTTTTTGTTTTGCTTTCCTTAACCCCTTAAGGACCAAACTTCTGGAATAAAAGGGAATCATGACAAGTCACACGTGTCATGCGTCCTTAAGGAGTTAAGCATGCCTTTCGGTTATAAAATGCAAAACAAAAAAACAAATAAACCCTTTTGCAAGCATTTTAAAAATAGAAAAGAAATACAGTATTTATGTTAAATTGGGCTTATGCTATAAAATAAAAATACTACTCCCTACAAAGAGGATATGCATCTTTTAAATATTGTATACACTGACAATGATTTATATGGTGGTGGTGTATTATAGCAGTTATTGTTAAGTAGTTAGCTTTATATTACAATTTTATTCTGTAGCCACATGATTGCCATGGAAAGTGTTCACCTGACTCTATAGATTATAAATATACAGTACATTTTTTTTAGCGTAATAGCAAAAGTAGTAATTTTTAGCAGTTCTACCTAGAAGCATTTCAAACAATAACTCTCAGGGCACTGTGTTAAAATTATAATGGCTTTCTTATAATGATGGCACAATTCAAGAATGTGATTTTTTATATATTTTATTTAGGTCCAGTCATTAGGGAAGGGGAGGTTTTTAAAAAAAAAAAAAAAATAAGACCTCCTGTCCCCAAGTGATGGTGCTGATTTAAGCATAACAAAGGTAAAAAGCATTATAAAGCTTTATAAAATACATTCCAAAGTTAGGGGACATTAAATTGGAACAGGGTAGAGAGTCCAACAGGAGTGTGTTGGTGATGGCATAAAGGGTGGGACACACGTGAAAAGCGTGAATTAGCCAGGATTAAATTTACAATAGGGTGGTCGTTTATTGAACTTGCCAGCCCCATTGAGAGCTGCACGCGTGCAGAGCATTTCTGAAGCACTCTGCCCATAGGCTCATTGTCCTGAGTGTATGTTGTGTAGTGCAAACACATCTAGTTGGATGTTTGGTAACTAGTCCAGGACAACTTGAAAGGCAAATTATTCAGGATGGTCCCACTGAATGTTGGGGCAGGACCAGACAGTGCATAGAGATTACTTGGCACATGCCAGTAGTCTACAGTTAGAAAGAGGAGATCGAGGTATCTCCCCAGCTGCCCCATGCAGGGAGCTCATAGGCTGGTTGGGGAGATCAGAGATCTCTCTCATCAGCTCAGCTCACTCTCCCTCATGGTGGACAGGCTGAGGGTAGGGCTTGTGTGTTACAGGGCCTAGCCAACATAGGACGTCTGTCACTAACATGGTACGCGTGCTTACAATAGTTGCCCACTATGCACAGATTTAACATTGCACAGCCTGGAATTATATTTCTGGGCTGGATATTAGAAGTTTCAGACACAAATAGATTCAATTACTCAATCTATATGAAGTCCAGTGCCAGCATGCAAAGAACCACTGGATACAGCGCTTTTAATAGACACATATTGGATTGATGGATTGTGGTGAATGCCATGCAAGCTATGTATCTCATCAGTGCGTCTCTATAAGAAGAATCCAGCTTCACAGGAGGGGCACTGGAATGACTGCCACAGTGATGTTTTATGACAATTTTAAGGATTTTTTTTTAATTTACAAAAGGGGGGTCAATAATATAAACTAACACAGTAATGTTCTAATAAAAAAAAATATATTATTTCAATTATAGTGTTTCTTTAAGAGGTTCAAAAATCAGCATAGCAATAAGCAGGTATGCAATGTAAGTGAACCATGTTAGTTAGCTTATTGTTAAGTCTGGTGGACCCTCTAGTGGTAGACCTAGGTCACAACACTGTGAATATGCTGCAGGTCTCAAGTCACATTTTAATATTCTGCAACTATATAACAAAGATTATAATTTCATGATCTATATATTCTTTATGTATCAGGAAGCCATCTGAGTTGACATTTAAGCCACACAATATGATATTGGAAACCAACTAATAACCAGTCACAACAGTTATAATTAAAAAAAAAAAAAAAAAAATCACAGTTCAAATTTTATGAGTCATCTTTCTGTCATCAATACTGACAAAGTCAGAAAATGTTATAATATTAAAAGCTGGACCTAAAGTGCGATTTAATTGTTAATCTCACAGTGTCAACCTCGATAGGCTGATAACGCTTGGTCATCAACAAAGAGAATCTTGCACCTTTGTGGGCTATATCATCGGTGGAAATGGAACAGATTAAAACCTGCAATGGTAAAATACATAACTGGATTAATTGACCTCACCCAAACATAATTTATAAATATACACTCCACACAATGTCATCCCTGCATTCTCACAAACAGATATTCTGCACAAATACACAAACTATGCAAAATGTTAACACTTTACGCAAATACATGCAAGGATTCACATATACGCTGTTGCTTTGCACTTTGCACAAGTGCACCCCTGCATTCAAGCACAACTCCGATCTGCATTGTAGAACCATGCATTCACATTAACATACAACTTAGACTCAGAACTCACATACATATGCTAAAACTTGACACAATTAGATTTGAACATTTACACACACTCACACTAGATTCATACTTTTGCATTAACACACACAAATGCTATAGAGAAAAAACAATGACATTTACTGATATACAATTACAGTCAGCATTACATAATTCCTCCATGCATTCACACACTTACAATACACTCAACTGCATCCTTGCATTAACACATAGTTATAATGCACACAAATACAATCACATTCCCTATGATTTTTAAACCCCCACTATGTTTTCATAGGCATGGCTTGATGTTCTATATTCACATACAAATACACATATACAGGTTTATTCATTGTTATTATTAGCATTGATATAGCGCCAACATATTATGCTATACTCTACATTAAATAGAAATTCGTGGAATATTGACAAATAGTGTCTAGTTTTAGGCTAAGAGGAACACTATAGCGTTAGGAATACAAACGTGTAGTTCTTATACTATAGTGTTAGGCCACTTACTCAGATTATTGGTCCCCCCCTTTTTAAACTTGTTTCACGCGGTACACTGCTCTCCGTGAGGCTGTCTGATGATCTCAGCCAACATGGAAGCATTGGCTGAGGCTAGTGTGCATGCAGAGCAAATTGCAGTGCTGCGCCAATCAGCATCTTCTCATAGAAATGCATTGTGTCAATGCATCCCTACGGGGAGCGTTCCGCGTCTCCAGGCAGAGTGTGGAAACACTGAACATCGGTTCTGCCATCTTTGCCGTACTGCATTCTGGAAGCCCCTATAGTGGCTGTCCAAGTGACATTAGACAGTAATGTCAACACTCTCTGTTCTCAGAAAAGTCAGTGTTTACAATGCTCAGCGTGCAGGGACCGACTCTTTGCCCCCAAGCCACTACATTAAGCGGCAGTGCGTCTGCTGCCTATAACGTTAATGTTTAAATAACAGAACTGAAAACTAGCTGTGACGGAGACTCCCCCCCCCCCAATTTTACTGTTTTAGTCTACATTTTGAAATTAATTTTTCCATGAACTGTGTAGTGAATAGACATCATATTGATAGTGTTTATTTGGAATACATATGGCAGACAGTGTAGCCATAGTGTGTATTTTTGTTCCTGTGCATAACTGACATATGGCACATAGCCCCATGTTAATGGATAATCTCCTAGGAAATTACTTATTCCTTATCTTCCCACAATAAACAAAGCACCTGTAGATGACACAGCTTTAATACAGCGGGAAAACAGGAAGCACTCTGAGCCCTCCCCCCCCCCCATCCCATGTTGACAGCCAGACAGCCAGCCTGCTCCCATGACACTAGCACGCTGCTCCTAGCAGCCATTGGAACGCACAGCCCGCAGCACCACTTCCGCGTGTCACCGCGCTGCCCTCTGGGAAAGGTAGTCTTCCGCCCGGCCTCTGCAACATTACCACACAGCGCTCTGGACTACAAAATCCATTTTGCTGCGCGCAGGAGGGCGTGGCTTGCAGGGGAAAGGGGCCGTTACGTCTGTCAACGGCTCCAGCAGCGAAGAGGGAGGAGGAGGAGCAGCGGGAGGCGGTGAGAGGGCTCTGAGCTTCCGCATTGGAGACCGGCCGGTGGGGCCGCTGTGTTGTTGTTGTTGTTGGCTGCTCCCTGCCTGGCGGAGAATGGGCCAGCGGTGACCGTGTCCAGCCATGTCTCACCCCCCGCAGTCCCCCTCGCAGGTCCAGCAGCAGCAGAGGAGGAGGGATCGCCGCATCTTCTCCGGGACATGCCCGGACCCCAAGTGCCGGGCCCGGCTCTTCTTCCCGGCCCAGGGCTCGGCCAGCATCGAGTGCACGGACTGCGGGCAGCGGCACGAGCAGAGGCAGCTGCTGGAGGTGGAGGAAGTGACCGAGCCGGATGTGGTGCTGCACAACCTGCTGAGGAACGCCCTGCTCGGGGTGGCCGGGCCTCCCAGGAGGAACACTGACATGGTGAAAGTCATGGGGCTCTCCAACTACCACTGCAAGCTGCTCTCCCCCATCCTGGCACGGTATGGCATGGACAAGCAGACAGGCAAGGCCAAGCTCCTGAGGGACATGAACCAGGGGGATGTGTTCGACTGCTCCTTGCTGGGCGACCGGGCCTTCCTCATCGAACCCGAGCACGTAGACACGGTGGGCTACGGTAAAGACCGCTCAGGTAGCCTACTGTATCTGCACGACACTCTGGAGGACATCAAAAGGGCCAACAGTAACCAGGAATGCTTTATCCCGGTCCACGTTGATGGCGATGGCCACTGTCTGGTCCATGCCGTGTCACGGGCGCTGGTAGGTAGGGAGCTCTTTTGGCACGCACTGCGGGAGAACCTGAAGAAGCATTTGAAAGATAACTTAGACCGATACAAAGCTCTTTTTCATGACTTCATTGATGCCGCTGAATGGGAAGACATCATTAATGAGTGCGACCCTTTGTTTGTTCCTCCTGAAGGTGTACCCCATGGACTGCGAAACATTCACATTTTCGGCCTGGCTAATGTGCTTCACCGCCCCATTATACTTTTAGATTCTCTAAGCGGAATGAGGAGTTCTGGTGACTATTCTGCTACGTTCCTTCCTGGCCTCATACCAGTGGAGAATTGTAAGGGCAAAGAAGGACAACTGAATAAGCCAATATGCATTGCGTGGAGCAGCTCCGGGCGCAACCACTACATTCCTTTGGTTGGCATAAAAGGCATCTCTTTGCCAAAGCTGCCATTAAAATTGCTCCCAAAAGCATGGGGGGTGCCCCAAGATTTAATAAGGGAGTATATAAAGTTGGAAGAGGATGGAAGTTGTGTGATTGGCGGGGACAGGAGTTTGCAGGATAAATATTTACTCAGACTGGTTGCTGCAATGGAAGAGGTTTTCATGAACATGCATGGCATTCACCCCAGTTTAGTAGCCGACGTCCATCAATACTTTTACAGAAGAACGGGAGTTATTGGAATCCAGCCTGAAGAAGTGACCACTGCCGCGAAAAAGGCGGTTCTCGAGAACCGTCTTTTTAAGTGTCTTATCTGTGGCGCTTTGTCAGAACTTCTTGTCCCCCCAGAGTGGTTGACACAGGGTGGGAAATTATATAATCTTGCAAAGACCACTCATGGACAGCTGAAGCCTGATAAAAACTATAGTTTTCCCCTTAACAATATAGTCTGTTCCTATGATATTACAAATGACATATTGGTGCCCGACTATAACTTGAGTAATTTGACTAGTTGTAATTGGTGCCGTGGAAATTCTGTGCGTAGAGTCAGAAGTGATGCCTCAATTGTATATATAGATGGAGACCGAACAAATACCAGGTCACTTGGTGGAAAATGTGGTTGTGGGTTCAAACATTACTGGGATGGTAAAGAATATGACAACTTGCCTGAAGCCTTCCCTATTACTCTTGAGTGGGGTGGAAGAGTAGTGAGGGAGACTGTGTACTGGTTCCAATATGAAAGTGAAGTGACTCTCAATAGCAATGTGTATGACGTTGCAATGAAGCTTGTCACAAAGCATTTTCCTGGGGAATTTGGCAGCGAAATTCTTGTACAGAAAGTGGTTAACACAATATTACACCAGACTGCCAAAAAGAACCCTGGTGATTATACACCAGTATCTATTGATGGAGCTCATGTACAAAGAATAGAGGATATGCAGATGGAAAAGGAGCCAGAATCCCAGCTGCCCACCAAAATCATCTTAACTGGTCAGAAAGCAAAGACTTTGCACAAAGAGGAACTAAATATGAGCAAAGCAGAAAGGAAACTTCAGCAAAATATTTCTGACCAAGCCATCATAATGCAAAAACGCAAAACTGAAAAAATGAAACAAGAACAGAAAGGACAAGCAAGGACATCATCCCCTGGAAGTGTCAGAGACAGTTCATCATCAGGCCCGTCAACACCCACTAAAACACCTTACTCCCCAACATCATCCAAAGAAAAGAAAATTCGGATAACAACCAATGATGGTAGACAGGCAATGCTCACATTAAAATCCTCAACCACCTTCTTTGAACTGCAGGAAAGTATAGCCAAAGAGTTGGATATCCTTCCCCAATTGCAATGCATACGTTATGGATTCCCACCAAAAGAACTTTTACCACCCAGAGATGGCATGGAAAATGAGCCAGTTCCTTTACAACATGGTGACCGGGTCACAGTAGAGATTTTGAAGGCCAAGGACAAAGCTGTTCTTCACACTTCACCTCACTCTGTCCATAATGTGAAAGCCGAGGACCCAGCAGTGTCTGCTAAATCAGTGTCTAGAGAACTTCAAGAGCAGATTGACAAAGAAATGTATTCTTTATGTTTGCTGGCAACTTTAATGGGTAAGGGAAAACAATTCATTTTATCCAGGGGGGCACTCTTTAATTTAACATTCAATTTGCCTGTTTCATCTGTGTTTTGGCATTCACTATATTGTTTTTTCCCTTCTCCTTCAAGCCTTTCACATCTTTGTGTGTCCAAATGTGATATATACGGAGGATATAGCCTTCACTCCATAGAAGTTGGGTCAATTTGTTTATGTTCTATATTGGATTCAGTAAAGTATGAATTATCATGAATTCAAAGTGAATTTAACATTTTAGGCCAAAATAGTTGAATGTGAACATTCTCTCATATTAAGTCATTTATGTTTTCAGTCAACAATATTGGACTAAAAGTAGAAATGGGACAGTTTCCACTTTAGAACTGTTTTTTTTTTTTTTTTCCATCTTCATAAATGGAGCACTCCTTAGCCACATTGATAATGTGGAAGAGGCGGAGAGTGCTTAGCTACCTCCAAAGTATTCTCATCCAATTACCACTATCCCGGCAGGACATTATTGATAATGTGAAAATCATAATAATGCATTGGCAATGTACCAGAGGAGTGGAAAACCCCCAATTTGTTATTAGCGTTAAATATTAGAGATTCCGGTTTCTGATTTATGTTATCCTCCTAATTGGTGTTTGTCAGGCTAAGAATTTGTACTTTGGCTAAAGTTAATATTGCGATATGGAGTCAAGGTTTATAACTGCAGGTAATGATCAGAGTATAAAAATTAACTAGTTGATAAAATATTTCTGTTCTGTCCTTGAAACTATGCTTGCATGCAACATGCAACCCAATAACACAAAAGTCTGTATGGCTACTGTGCTGGAGGCGTAAATAGCACTTTGAAGACTAATGCATTGCTAGTCCTACTTAATCAAATACTGTCTTGCTAAGAGCTGGAAAGTTAACGTCCTTGTATCAGCAGCTATCTGCATTTTCTGTTTCCAAGTGAAATGCCGAATAATGTTTATACCACTAGAGTGTTTTCTCGGTGCTGTAGTTATTCATAATTCAGTTTGTTGGATTGTTTGGCATCAGATTGCAAATGTTCTAAGTTTTGCCTTTGGAGCAATGTAAGTGCATATCTCATTAGAATTTTCAGTTTCGATTCTTCGTTGTTAGGTTCACAGTACCTCTGCACTATAAAGGAGAACTCCACGTTGACTTGTCAGCTGAAGTGTCAGAGTCTAGCTGTCACTGGAGATATTATTGTTGCTGACCTTTGGCATACTAGATAGGAAATAAAGTTTTCGTCAGCTGCTTCTCATTGCTAGAAAGAAGGTTTCTTCCTTCTGAATAGAAGTTATAATGAACTCAAACCCTGCCTGGTCTGACTTGTAGTTTTACATAATTTTCACTAAGCTGGTTTTATTCTTTAAAGAAATGTTTGTTCTGCTAATTGAAGGCCATATTTCTCAGTGTTACTAAGGATGCTTATGGGAAATCTGAACAATTGTGACTCAGAAGAAACATTGCTGTCATGCAAGATTCTTTTATATAATCAAGTGTGTGTTAGCCACATTACATATCAACTTTTCTTGGCATCTAGCCTGGCTGTGAAAGAGTGTATGTGCGTGTTTATTTTTAATTAACTCTTTTAGAATTTAAAGCATTAAAGGTGCTTTTAATTATTCTAAATCCCTACATGCCTTTTTATGGTGTTAAGCTGTTGTCAGGTCCTTGTCGAACCATTTCTGGGAGCCACCTGCTAGAATTGCCGTGCAAATACTCTGTCTATGAAAGCCAGAATATGGATGAATTTAAAGGGACACTATAGTCACCAAAATCACTTTACGAAGCCGTTTTGATGTATAGATCATGGCTCTGAAGTTTCACTGCTGACTAAGCAGGGCGTAGCTAAAATGTTTAATCCTGAACCTCCTTTGAGTTCAGTGGAAGAGCTGTACATGTGAACAGCCAATGCAAATAGCGGTAATACTGTACGTCTGTACAGAACCATAGAACAAAGCATACTGAGCTTCCGTATGGCTTACACTACCCCTTTTCATATCTCCAGTCCAGACCCATCACAGTTTAATTTCTCAGAATATTAGGAGGTATGCTGGAGCACCATTCTAGAAATCTGCTGGAGGGTAATCTATGCTATTGCTTGTGTCGTGCAAGCTATTGTGAAGGTTGCATTTCAGTACACTCGTGGTGCCAGAGATCGAAAATGAACAACCAGTTAGCTATGTTTACGGTTTACCTTGATGTTATAGGGTAGAGTCAGGTCTGTTAGTGTTCACATTATGCTGCATTTAATTCACTTCAGTTTGCTGTGCTGATGGGGCAGATGTCAGTAATATAAGTTCCAACACTTTCGGTCTATCAGATTGACAATCTGACGTATACTTGCAATGGATTCTGCCACCGCATTGCTGGACTTTGCAGCAGTTCTAGATTAACGCAAATACATTTATCTTGTTCCATAGCAACAATTAGAATGTAATGAAATTGTTTCATGAAGAAAGAAGAGACTTGATATAGCTCAAAGACATTCATTTAATATCTTATTCAAAATATAGCTTTAACACTGCTCATTTAACGTAATTTAAAAATTTTTCCCTCCTGTTGTTTACATTGTGCTAGCAAATGTAAAGTTTATGCACAAGGGGTATACCTGCTAGAATGTAGAGGTTATGTATTCAGTAGACCATGGCCTATGCAATTGCTTGGCTCCCTATTGTTTTCAAATTGAGTCAGTGGAGGCCCTATGACTAGTAGTAAGGAGTTTAAAAATAATTTCATAATCTAACCTGTGATAGTGAGTGGAACTTGTTTAATGGATTATCCAAGTGGATCTTGTGCAGATACCTGTGGTGTGATAGCACACCAGTGACACCACTACTTGCTAGGAACTCAGGATGGCCTGGATCCACAAGATGGAGGTGGTAAAAATGGAGAGCTCTAAGTATTTCCCCTTTCTTCCACTTGACACCAGCATGAAAGTGATCATGTCACATTTAGTGTTCCTTGGAAAAATTATGTTATTATTCAACAAATTCCGCAGCGCTTTTCAGTGGGTGAACAAACAAACTTGTAGTTGTAACCAGACAAGCTGGACACACAGGAACAAAGGGGTTGAGGGCCCTGCTCAATGAGCTTACATGCTAGAGGGAGTGGGGTAAAGTGACACAAAAGGTAAGGATAGTATTAGACTAATGACAGTTGCAAGAGAGGAATAAGTCGGTTGCTATTAACAGTTTAATTTATACGCTTTTATGAAGAAGTGGGTTTTTAATGATTTTTTGAAGGAGTGGAGACTGGGTGAGCATCTAACGGAGGAGGGAAGTGAGTTCCACGGTAACGGTGCGGCCCTCGAAGTCTTGAAGGCGAGCATCAGAGGTGGGAGTACGGACAGAAGAAAGACGTAAGTCTTCAGCAGAGTGTAAGGGCCTAGACGGGGCATACTTGTGTATGAGGTAGGATAGATAGGTGGGGAGCAGCATTATGGTAGAGATTTGAAAGCAAGAACCAGAATTTTAAATTGAGCCCTATATCTTACATGAAGCCAATGTAGGGTCTGACGGAAGGGTGAGGCGTGGGACGTGCGGGTGGACAGGAAGATGAGTCTCACTGCCGCATTCATTATGTACTGTAATGGTGCAGGTTGGGAGCACATAAGACCACTGAAAAGCAGATTACAGTAGTTAAGGCGAGAAAGGATAGTGGAATGGACCATATGTAAATATCCATCAAGTAATAGATGTCCTTTTTGTTACTCTTGACTAGTATGCTATAGTTCCATTAGGCGTCTCCTTAATACATTGGTCTTTAATTCATGACGCAAGATCTTTGATACAAGAGTACCTAATGTTTTTTTTAGAAATAGGGATCGACCAATATAATTTTTGGTCGATACTGTTGAACGGTTGCCTTTTAGGTTAATTGCTGATTTTCTGCACATTTAAAAAAAAACAAAAACAAATGTTTGTTTTTTAACCCCTTAATAACACATGACATGTGTGACATGTCATGATTCCCTTTTATTCCAGAAGTTTGGTCCTTAAGGGGTTAAGTAACTCAATTGCTACACAAATCTGGAATTAACTAAACATACTGACAGAAATCACACTCCTATCAGTCTCAGGCCACTACATGCTGGGATCAGTGAGATCCCAGCATTTTTTTTTTAAAAGGGACACTGTAGTCACCCAGACCACTTCAGCTCAATGAACTGGTCTGGGTGCCAGGTCCCCCAGGTTTTAACCCTTCAGATGTAAATATAACAATTTCAGAGAAACTATGTTTACATTGCAGGGTTAATCCAACCTCTAGTGGCTGTCTTCCTGACAGCCGCTAGAGGCGCTTCTGCGACGCTGCATGCGAAATTTGTCCATTGAGAAATGCTTTCCTATGGACTGTTTGAATGTGCGCGGCACTTGCCGTGCATGTGCATTCAGCTCCACTCGGGAGCTGATGGCGGGGGAGGAGAGGTCACCAGCGCCGAGGGACCCCGGCGCTGGATTAAAGTAAGTAGCCGAAGGTGGGTCCTAAGGACGAGTTTGTTTTCCTGACACTATAGTGATCCTTTAATTTATTATGGGCATTTATAAAGCACCAACATATTACGCAGTGTAGTGTACAGTGCTGTTACTGGTAGGATTGTGCTGTCAGCAATCACACGCCTATCACGCTCAGTCAGCCAACCCAGTACATTACAGTAGGTTATTCACTGTCTTACCTCTCTGCCTTCAGCTGAGCTCTGCATGAGGGGACTCACATAAAGCGGTGACATGAGGTCACAATGTGGCACTTCATTGGCTGGAGGCTAGAGTTTCCAGAAGACTGAGTGTGGTGACTGGGAGAAGTTACCGGTAATATTGTTAAATGAAATTATCGGTTAAATACTGAATATCTTCTCTGATAATGAGGATCTCATAATCTGCCTATCCCTATTTACAATGAAGAAAACAAATATCTTAAAATATAAAAGTCAAGACTCTTTCTTTACTTTTTTTTTTTTTTTTTATTAGTCCACATTGCCAAATGTTGGAGCAGCCTAATTGTATTTGTTTATCTCTTGGCACATGGCAGCTCAAGACCTGCTGTCATGCTATGATTTCAAGTTGTTTACCCGTTTTGTCTGATGATGAGCTGTATTCAGGGAAGAGGCTGCAGCAAATGCTTTTAGTAGTTTTTCTTTTCTCTTCCTTTTTTTTTGTGTTTTGTAAAAGCCTACAAATGTTTCATTATTTATACAATCTGTAATGGTAAATTAATGAAATCATATGGATTTTCAGAAGCAATACATTGAATTCTGCCATATTTTTGTTTATTTTGTAACCGCTTGTTTGTAAGAAGAAATGCTGGCGTGTCCAAAAGTCTGTAGAATTATCTGAAAATGTTTGTCTTTCTGTGTGTGTGTGTGTGTGTGTGTGTGTGTGTGTGTTAGTTATAATATATTGTACAAATGCCCATTCTAGTTTTAAATCCAAAGCAATCTTTTAGTGTTCCTTCTAATGCCTTTGATGTTTCTGGGGTGTTTTTTCTATTGGTAGTGGAAAGCTAATATTTGGCACTCTGCTATACACTATGTTTCCCTTGATGCTCCTTCATGAGAAACAAATCCCACTGGGTGTTTTTCTGGCTGGCTCTTGATATTGTTATTTTATGTGACAATCTCTCAGTGCATATAGCTTGAGCCACAATCTTCAACACAATGTCGTATCCCCAGTCTACGAGTTTGAAACACTTGGCATGTAATAGCAACTGCACTGAAATATAACAGATTTGGCCTGCGTTCTGCACTTGTCACACTGCAAATGTTGCAGTCTGCTTTGTGAAATAAAATAAAACATTTATAAAATGAAGTGTTAAACAAAAGTATTTTAAAATCTCATAACCACGTGTATAAAGAATCTTATTACATTTAGTAGTGTGTCCTACGAACACAATGGACTTCTCTTATAATATATATCTTTGCTACTATAGGGGGGGGATTTAAATATTTATGTGGCCCATTTTTTATAGTTTAGAAATGTTACCTTGTGCTGTATAGAGTATTGGGTGCTTGAATCAATAATTTTTTATTTTTTTTTGGTGTGAATTTTAAAGCAACACTTAAATCATTAGTTTTGTCAGTTTCCCGATTTTCCCGATTCCCGCATATAGCTTCTACAGAGCTGAAGAAGCAGAAAACCAATACCGCAAACCATTCCTTGACTTAAAGCATTAGCTGACCGCTCTGACAATGAACGTAACTCTGTGGATAGGATGCATAGAGTTTATATTAGCAAGCGGTAGCTCTTGTTCCTTTATAGCTAATGACACTGCCTGAGGTTAAATTACACCTCGGGCATAGTGAAACACTGCGCATACAGACTCCAGACACCATGACCACTTCAGATCACTGAAGTGGTAATAGTGCTTGAAGTAACCCTTTAACTTCCTTACACTGGCATTGCCAATACTGCATAAATATAATTGCTGTATGTGAACTAAGTAAGACTCCAGAATACAGCGCAGAAATGGATTAAAGTTGATGCATAGGTTTTAAAAGGTGTTTATATTTTTGTTTTGGTATATATCAACCACTTTACTATTGCTGCTGCACAAACTGTATTTTCCTTAAAAATAAAACCCCAAAATAGTTTTTAAGATGCATAACAAAAATGCTTTAAATCTTTCTTTTTTCTTTCAGGTGAAGATGTATGGACCTATGTGAAGGGGCTTCCTCATTTATTCCACCAAGGAGGAGTATTTTATAATATAATGAAGAAAAATATGGGTAAAGTGAAAAAGAAAAAAAAAACATGCTTTTATTTTGAATTCACTTTTAATTATTTGTTAAAATTAAAGAAAAAGTTGTTTGAAAATGATGGCATAAAATATCTTGTATCTCTTGTAAGGGCATTTTACCATTAATCGATTTTATGTCTGATTATTTATCATTAATTTTGCTGAAAAAAATGAAATAAGTTTTTCTGCTTCATTACAGCATAACCCTGCCCTCTTATCCATGCACCCTATTTTCAGAATTAAAATTCCTTATTGGATCTACTCTACTTAGCCAATGAGAGAGTGTGAGCTGACATCACTCCAGCCCATAGCCAGTCACTATTATGAATTGTCCCCTTTACTTTTAGCACGGCTGTTAAAGTAGTAATAGCAGAGTCAAGTAAACGGCTCAGCTTGCACTGGTTGTATTGACTGAGCCACTGCTTCCCAAGCAAGAAGATGTATTGTGAAAAGGGGAGGCGTGCCTAAGAGAGTTATGCTACAGAAAATATCAAATGTGTGTGTATGTGCAAGGATATTCCACACATCATAACCAATTCAGCTGGTTATGAAACATGGAGTTACCCTTTAAACATTATTAGCCCTTCTACTAGGGCTTTTACAGCTTATACAGATTTTTACTTGTACGTAATATGTTTCACAAAATGTATCTAAGTAATGTAGGAACATATACTTTAGTAAGAGTGTACTTTCTGAAGTCCAGAGATTCCACAAATATATTTACTAAACTTAGAATTTTAGAAAATCGACAAGGGAATTATCGGTTTTAGATCACAATATTTATTTATAAAATATTTTACCAGGAAAGATACATTGAGATTTCTCTCGTTTTCAAGTATGTCCTGGGTCCACAATATGCAGAGTTTAGCTATTTTGGGCCTTATATGTGAAATTCCGTTGTTCGTTTTCCGCAGTTCTGTTTTCTAAATATACCCCCAAGGCTTTCGGTCTTCTCCCTAGGTTATGTTGTTGGAAAGAGTTCTAAAAATAAGCTGACCTGCTATGTTCGTAAGAGGTTGACGTAAAGCCACAAGAAAAAACTGTGCCCTCTGCACAAACCAAGAACTCTTATACCACTTAGGAAAGCTCCAATAATCTGTGTTCTGTTTGAGGTGTTTTTAAAAACATTAACGTTTCTGTACTGTCATCAGCCATATTTCACTTATTTTTCTTATTCACACCCATTTTCTTTTACTTATCTCTCATCCATCTCTACTGCAAGTTTTCTGACATCACATTTGTCTCATACATTTAATTTATTTTTTCCTTAATTTACTTTGTGCTCTTTACTACTGTCTTGTATTTGCTTTATTTTATTAAAATGATTTCCATTTTGCTTCATATTGTTCTTGGTAAATGCTTCTCTTATTGTGTTGCATTCTTTGGCCATGATCCTTACATCTTTTCTTATTATATTTTGTCTATCGCTAGAACTGCAATTTACACAAACACATTACCAATTCTTTATTTTATCTTTTCTTAGGAATAGTTGATGGAAAACATTGCACGTTTCCTCACCTTCCTGGCAAAACATTTGTCTACAATGCAGCTGAAGATAGGCTCGATCTCTGTGTGGATGCTGCAGGTCATTTTCCAATAGGCCCTGAGGTTGAAGATTTGGTAAAAGAGGCATTGAGCCAAGTCCGCTCAGAAGCCGCTTCCAGAAGCAGGGAGTCTAGTCCATCACATGGTTTGATGAAGCTAGGCAGTGGTGGAGTAGTGAAAAAGAAATCTGAGCAGCATCACAATGTGACAGCCTTTCAAGGAAAAGGACACTCGCTGGGAACAGCTTCTAGTAGCCCCGATCATAATCAGAGACCAAAAGATGCAACAAAGCACTGCGCAACATCTGATTTCAATAGCACTTTCACCTATTCAGACACTTCATTGCCCTCCACAGCCAGTGACGGTGAACTTATCAGAGTAGCTCCTGGAATGGTAACCATGAGAGATAGTCGGCAACTTGATCCCAATTTAGTTGAAGCCCAGAGGAAGAAATTGCAGGAAATGGTTTCTTCCATTCAGGCTTCAATGGATAAGCACTTACGGGATCAAAATGCTGAGCAATCAGTTGGGACTGATACTTCTCCAAAAAAGGGAGAATGGCTTCCTGCAAAGCCTTTGAGCAGTCAGACAAATACATGTACGGACACGACTGTTTGTTCTGGTACACAAGATAGTTATGTTGCTAGTTCTGTGGAAAACATGTTATCTGTGAGGCCTAAAATTCAACCAGGAGTTTCTGCAGAGTCTTCAGAAGAAATGGACAGCCAAGATGTAGAAATGACCAACATAGCGGAGCCTATGGATCATTGATTAGTACAAGCTTCCGTGTAAAGCAGAATACATAAATATATTCTAATATGTTGTATGTTGGCTGGCCCACAGTGTGATATAGTCCTTTACAGAAATCTTGTATGTTTAAAAGAATATTAAACTCCTTTTCGCTGCATGAAAATGTGTGTAATTGAGGGTGGTGGTGAAAAGCTGTCAAGGTTATTCTAGCTTGAAATAGATTTGGAAATAATTTGTAAATGTAATGTGAAGGTCTGTGTTCATGCATATGGAGAAACACGTTGCCTCTTTCAGTGCTGAAGGAGCATTTAGTAACATGCATTGCTTGGCCACTTTACACCCAATACATAGTCTGACGAACTGATCAATTATAAATGTGCTGCTCTGCATTCTGTTCAAATTAAAGACATTCATCACAACAGAGCAGGTTCTGAGATTATTAATCAGCTCATGGCTTCAGTATCTAGTCAGATTTTGAAATCCTAACATGGATTATTCAGTGGAAAATACTAACCAGTATCTCATTTTACTCTGCTTGAGGTTTGATAATTAGTTTGGCGAGAGGTTGAACTTTCCCATGTAGTTTTTAAATTGTGAGGATTTGTTGATGCTTTAAAATTAGATGTCTGTAGCATGGTGGTGGACATTTTTAAGCTCCTATAAACACCATAACCACTACAGCTTGCAGTCGTGGTTATAGTTCAAGGACCTGGTGCTCTCCCTGGGTAAGTAGACAAACCATGATAAATAGTTCGATAATATACCTGGGATCTGCTTGGTGCTAGTCACAGCATTTTCTGGAGCCTAATGTTCCATCAACTTCACTGAGCTTAGCCCTGTCTAGCCAGCTCATTGACTCAGAGCATTAGCTGAGTTCTCTCAGGCAATGAACTAAGCCCTGCACCACTAGGATTAACTCAATGCAAGGAGATCCTGCCAACAGATTAGGATCTGAGCAGACCCCAGGTAAGTTGTCAAATGGTTTGACTACTTACATTGGAAGAGTGCCAGGGCACTCCTACTTTTACCTGGCTTAGTTCAGAAAGAGTTTTTCCAACTGTCAGGTTGAGGATGTAGAGGTGGGGAGCGGCACTCAGCAGACCCCAGATAAGTCAGATTATTCTGAAACAGTTTGACTATATACAAAGTGGGAAGCCCTCTTGGCATCATAACCAATACAGTGTGCTGTAATGGTGCTTGGAGTGTTCATTTAATGATGTTAAGAAATCTTAATCATTTCCATGGAGAGACTATTTTTGGGCCCTCTATCACACACTCACAGGGATAAGGTAAACCAAAATTATTTGAAATTAAAGGACCACTATAGTGCCAGGAAAACATACTCGTTTTCCTGGCACTATAGTGCCCTGAGGGTGCTCCCACCCTCAGGGACCCCCTCCCGCCCGGTTCTGGAATAGGGGAAAGGGGTTAAAACTTACCTTTTTCCAGCGCTGGGCGGGGAGCTGTCCTCCTCCTCTCAGCCCATTCGGCTAAATGCGTACGCGCGGCAAGAGCTGCGCGCGCATTCAGCCGGTCACATAGGAAATCATTTACAATGCTTTCTTATGGACGCTTGCGTGTTCTAACTGTGATTTGAGACAGCCGCTAGAGGCTTTGGTGGAAGGCTTAACCCTATTATAAACATAGCAGTTTCTCTGAAACTGCTATGTTTATAAAAAAAAAAAAGGGGGGTTAACCCTAGCTGGACCAGGCACCCAGACCACTTCATTAAGCTGAAGTGGTCTGGGTGCCTAGAGTGGTCCTTTATTCCTTAGTGAGACACTTTTGTGGACAGTAGCTTACCATGTGTATTTAGAGCACTTTAGAAATATTACATATCTATCTTCTTAATGCCACAGGGTTACAGCTCAGTCTGAAACCACTAGTGTAAAAAAAAAAAAACAAAAAAACAGGCAATTTGTGCAAACCGTTTCCCCAAACTAATCTCTCTGTATTCATACTCTGTCCTTTTAAACTTTTTCCATTTACTGCTATGCTGTAAGTTTAGCAAAAAAATGTCAACTGTTTAAAATATTCATAATTAAATACTTGTGGATACTGGCCTCAAAACAGGTCAGACTTAAAGAAAATGTGTCCTGTGTTTGGTCTTCAATAAAGTGATCATTAGAAAATATTTCTATTTTAAATTGGTCCTTGTCATGCGAATGGATGTTGATCACATCCATCAAATTTTTTCTCATTAGCCTGTTAGCATGATTTTAAAGAGATAATACACAAACACCCAAATTACAGAGCTTGCAAAGCACAATTCTAGATCCCACAAGTACTAGCTGGCTTCCTAAGGTGTACTTGATGTGCATGGCTACTCTACATCTAGGAAATTAAATTATTTAAAACATGCATCCCTTTAAATGACAAAAAGGACAATAGTGTTGTGGTGGCTGAGTTGCTTTTTATTGCCATGCTTTACCCCACTAAAACCCAGGCCCAATGTAGGGACTGTCCTTCTTAAAGAGATTTACTGAGAGGTATATTTAGAAACAAATCCGTTTCTTGTCAAATTTAATAAAGAATTATTTAGATCTATAGACAAGGCAGTTTGATAGAGCAGTTCAGGAACTTTAGTCTCCTTTAATGTCATTTCTAGCTGTCTTTAATGTGCATTGTAGCTGTAGCTAAATATATTTACTACGATCTAGAAGATTATGACGATACAGTATAAATAAGACTGGGAAAATCAAAAGAAGTAATGAAGTTGTTATACTTTGACTGTACAGCATTGTCACTACCTACTATTCAAACCTTGGCTAGTGGCATAGGACTTGAAATTTGACATTCTGGCACACATCAATAGAAAGAAAGATGTTTAAAGTCAAGATGCCAAATTTCAAGTCCTATGCCACTAGCCAGGGTTTGTAACGTACTTGCCGCTGCAAGTGTGGAGGGAATGTGGCATGTTCGGCAGGATGCAAATTGTATGCCCTGCTTATATAATTGCTCAGATCAGATGTACAATGCCAGATTTCCTGTGTTTTAAACCATAACTAAAATGATCCATGTTCAGAGAATTTAAAATTCTTATTAACATACTGAAGCTAAGCATGCATGCCATAAATAGTATCTCTATAAAAGAACACAAGCTTTCTACCTTATGGTGTAACAGGGTAGTGCTTCATAAGCACTTGGCTACTGTCACAGTGTAGTGCTACAATTGCTCTTGATAAATATGCTGTTACATGACATTTTTCTGCAGTCACATGATATGGTTTTGAACACTACAACTTGCGTTTCCATTTTACCTTGCATTTTACCATATTACCTTTCATGCTTTATTTATTCATGAATATACTTTGATTAAAGTTAATTCAGTTTGAAAAGTGAAATATTCAAATTACATTGTTTACAGTTTGTTTTTAAATGTAAGAGATTGTAAATTATTTTAACCTTTCCCCCTATGGTATTACCCTGGTAAATACGATTTTAATATAGATTAAATATGGCCTTACTGGGAAATGGTTTTTAAACGTGAGTAGCCGCTGGAATTTCAAGTAGTAGTATATTTATTCTACTATAAGGAGTATTTGTTTCTCAGACACTGAAATCTTCATAGAATGTCACGCATCACTGTATGAGACTGTTCACTTCCAATCACTTTTATTATTGCCTTTATAATATGGCGTAAGTTCTGAACAAACTTGAATTGGATTGGCTGAAATCGGCAAGGGGGCAGGGCCGAACGCAGTTTTGACCAATCAGCACCTCCTCATAGATATGCATTGAATCAGTGCATCTCTATGAGGAAAGTTCAGCGTCCCCATGCAGAGCGTAGAGATGCTGAACAGCACTTCTGCCTACTGAGCCAGGAAGCACCTCTTAGTGGCCATCTAAGGAGTGGCCACTTGGAGGTGTCACTAGGGGCAATGTAAACACGGCATTTTCTCTGAAAAGGCAGTGTTTGCATGAAAATGCCTGAATATAATAATTATACTCACCAGTACAACTACATTAAGGTGTAGTTGTTTTGGTGACTATAGTGTCCCTTTAAATTCAGTTTTTCTAAACAGACATATTAGGAATAAGAAGCCTTGAGAGTAATTGTCCACTCCCAAATGATATACCCATGATCCATACACTATTTTACTGAATCCTTCCCAGTTCTAATCACATAATGATCCCAGTAGAGGTGGACTTTGTTGCTTATTTTGCGTTTTCTTTAACAGCCACCTAAGCAAAGTATTGCAATTGTTGTCACACTGGTTTGCACTAGACCACTAAAGCTCATTCCGTACGATTTAGTAGATAATTCATTGTGCCATAACACTTTTATAGACAATTATACATGGTCACATTCCATAGGAAAATTCAAATCAGATTTTTGTTTGACTATAAATAAATGTAAAATAAAGATAACCAATTATCACTTTAAATATCACATGTACATAATTTGATATTAGAAATGTATGTAGTTTGGCAGAGCCTTGTTCTTGATAATATATACATATGTAAGGTGTGTTTAATATAAGTTAACTGCAGAATTTGTGATTTAAAAAACTTTTTTTTTTGTTTGTTCTGTCAGAGCAACCTGTTATAGTGTTGTTTCTGAAACTGAATTAGCAGATCAAATTCAGCCGTTGCTGCATTGCAAATAAAGTAACAGCCTCGAGATGTATAGATGACAAGGTCACCTTCAGGTAGGCATAAAATTTGAATCTTCATAACCTAATGACATCTCCATCAAACCTATAGATTAAAATATATACATCGTTGAATGTTTCTGCCTTCTCCACATTGGCTCTGCATTGAATGTGGGTGTCTCCCCACTCTTTAAATCTTGTGAGCGGTCATCCAAAATTCCTAGCTTGCAGCTCACTTATGCAAGTAGGTATTGTGGCAAGCCTCTCACAGCATGTTGGGAGTGAGATGATGCACACATTTCTTCCTGCCTTGTTTGCTACTTTTATCTCAATGCTGGTGGCATAGTAGAACCAATTCTGAAAAAATAAACAATGTACTCTGTATATTTGTGATGTTTAGATCAAATGTATACAATGTATGGAAAAATGTAATCCTTCAGAACATTGTCATTTTTTTTTAAATACTGATAAATCCCATCCCAAAATATTATATATTTTCAAGTTATTTATTGGAAATGTAAATTGTCAGGAATTTCTTCTGAGTTTCAAATTAGTCAAAATAGCCTATTTATGTTTTGGGTTTTTTGTGGCTGTTAGGACCTAAAATTTGAAATCCCAGTTTAATTCATATTGAATTCCCAACAATTCATACTTTTAGTAAATATCTCTGTGTTGAAGATTTTTAACTTTACATTGTGGAAGAGATTTGTTAGTTAATGTAAAGTTGATCTTTAACCCCTTAAGGACACATGACATGTGTGACATGTCATGATTCCCTTTTATTCCAGAAGTTTGGTCCTTAACAGGTTAAACCCAATAATTCTATACTGTTGTATGGAGTTTATTAATTAGCTTAATTTTTCATCATAGATCAATTCACCTTTTCCTCCACACCCCTCTCCTCCTCTGTATTATAATCTTATGAATGCTTACAAGGACTGCTATCTGGGCTGTTATATTTCTAAATTATTGTGAAATAAACCCACATTTCTGTATCCAAATTTGATTTTGCTTTATATATTCTACAAATAAATTATATGGTAAATCTACAAGGTGCGTGTGTAAAAACCATACCATATGTTTTGTGATGATCTGCAGTGGTTTATAAATGTATAGAGGTCTGCTTCTGATATCTACTCCTGTCCCTGCATTTGCTGGATCAAATATATTTTTTAAAAGAATCAGTGATTTTTTTTAATGATGCAGATACAGTGACATCTTCAATGCTGGCTGGTAGATGACGGATACTCATCAGCCTTACTGCTTGTTCAGTTATATTTCTGCCCATTTGTTTGGTAAGTGCTTTTTTCATTTTATAGCCTGCGGATGACTTGTGTTTCAGACACATAGCTCTTTTTAAAACAGTGCACTGAGATCTCAACATGCCTGCAATTGAATAGGCTGTTTCGAAAAGAGACATCTTGATTAGAAATGTCTGATTTGGGCCATACTTGAAAATGCTTGAAAATTAAAGATATTAAAAAAACAAAAACAAACCTCAAATGTGATATCCATTATATACCACCCATACCCTGTACAGTTATACAAATTCAGGACAAGAAATAAAAATAGCAATATCATAATAGTTGCAATGTACTTACACTTTGTTTTAATATAAAGATATACACATTTTAGCATATGATACTTTGTCACTCGTACTATTAGATAACACATTGTATGACTCACATGCATGCTATTATAGGACCTATTCTGACTCACACACATTCCATAAGGATGCATTATTAGACTCCCACACACTGCATAGTAGAATACCCTACTGGGTCCTGAAAGAAAGCTGTTTTTACAGCTTTGAATTAAAGAATTAGCTAGCCTGAAATAATCTTTCTCCTTCATCTAGAACAGGGGTGGGCAATCTTTGGCCCTTCAGATGTTAAGGGCTACATCTTCCTTGATGCTTTGCTAGCATTATGGCCCTAAAAGCATTATGGGAGATGTAGTCCAAAACATCTGGAGGGCCGAAGATTGCCCACCCCGATCTAGAAAATACCTTTTAAAGGGTTATAATAAGGACCATACCACTACAGAGTGATGTGGTTGCAGTGCTGGGAGTCCCCTGCTGCCATCTGGTGGTAAGCTATCAAATCATTTATAAGTGGTTTGAGAGTGTCAGTGGTTGGCTCTAAACTAATAAAACATGGCTATTCTTGGTTGATATGATAATGCTCAAATCTGAATCTCAACTTTAGTTTATCATCTCCGATCACGGTGCGGGTTGACCGTTCGTCAGTTAGCGACATGGGACCCCTGCTACACTAGTGATTATGATGCTTAGGGTATACCTTTGAATGATTGCATGAGGATTTGATGTCTTTGTGCATATTATTGTTTCCAATATCTCACTATAATATACTAAATTTTAAAGGCAGTATGACTGTTATAGAGTTAAAACCAGGCATTTTAGCATGCAATGAATTTGTTTGAAACGGACCATACATTGCATTGTATTAAGAGTTGAAGTACCTTGTAAAAAGCACTTAGTAGAATTCACAGTTTTATTTTTCCTTGAAATATTTAGGCTAAAATAGCTCATCTAGAAGATAAGCAAAGTTGGGGGGGAAAAGTGAATATTTTACAGTTCAGATAACTTTTGTGCAAATTGTATAGATCTGCTGTTTATATTTTGTATCAGAGCCGCTACATTTTCAAAATTGACAATTTACCTTAATATTGACAATTTAAGGTCTAAGTGGCAAAATGCTCATCACTGTATTATTTTTTTATTTTATTTTTTGTTCCAGCCATTTTATTTTCCATCCAAAGACGGACATTCTTGAGAAGGCCTGTATTTCCTGGGTATGGGCTACAAAAATGTAATAAGTCAGGGAGTGCGTATTTAAGAATACTGGACGAATTACTGATGGTCCCATTATTCCTCAGGCAGTGAAATATGTGGAATCCAGTAACAGCTGCCACAAAGGCTTACCTGCATGTGTTGGGAGTCATAATCTAGCTATAACTACATATTACTATGTTGTGATGACAATGGTACTTGTAGGCTTTTTATGTATATGTGCCATAACAAAAAGAGGTGCAGTTTAGAGAGGTAGTGTAGCTTTTATCTTTTGTGTCCCGGTGGTGGAGCTCACTTCGCAGTGGATTACTACTACTGATTGTTGTGAATTTGCTTCATTACGTTTCCTATTAAACATAGGTACACAATGCCAAGTGTTTATCGCTCCACACTTCATTGAGCCAATCTTTATTTTGTTTTCCAATTGATGTGCAATATAATGAAATGTATGATCTGTAATGTAAAAAAAAATAGTGTATTATAAGACTACAGTATATTATATTACATTTGACTGTTCAGGGTTGGTATATTAAAAAAAAATAAAAAATTAAAAAGTCCATATTTGTAAAGATTTCTTTAGCAGTTGAACGGTTTTCTTTTAAATAAGTGCACAGATTCTAGAATTTTCACAAGTTTTGTGTAAATAAAACCTTTCTACTCTTAGCAGTTGAATTGTAGTAAACGAATGACGCATGCGTCTGATAACAAGAAAAGTCATTAGAAGCCTAATCTGGTTAGCAATGTAAGCAATTAGTGCCATTCATCATTGGACCATACAACTTATCTGGAGACAGGCAAATTGAGTCCCCTTCTCAATTCTATTGGTGTGTAGTATGTGCCATTTAAAAATATACCTCTGCATAGGATGTATTCAAATGGTGATCAGAGGTGCATCCAGAGTTTTAGTAGGACTGCAGTTCTTTAGGGGCTGGCAAAGTATTGGGGGAGTTGTGGTTTCACAATTTGTGAGATTTTACCATTTGGACAAATCTAATGTATAGATTATCAGAAGTTACCATAAGACAAAGTTATGGCTATGGATAGGTTTAAAGAGAGTTTAAAGAGAGTCTGCTTTTGGGCCAAATGCTTCAAATGGCTTCCATTTGGCGCATTTTGTCTTTTTTAATCTGCTCTTACTCATGATTGTTGTTGGGAACATAGTTTCTCTCTTGATGTGCCAGAGGGTGCCTATATAGTCACACTGCACATGCATGAGCAGGTCAGCAGAGGTTCTCATTGAATCTTCCTTAGACCCCCCGCCATTATGTACATGTGCTTAAGCGTTCACCAGCGATGCATCTCTCGGCAAGTTGGTATATTTCCCTTCGGGGGTGGAGTCTCCAAAGATCTCACAAGTGACAGTGCCACTTTAAATGTTAGTTTTATTTAGTATTGGGTTCAGACCAGAAGAAAATATTTCTGGAGTTCTTAGATAAGTTAAGTGAATGCCTCTGCGCCAGCATGCGTTTTGTTCCCCCTAGTAAGTAATTACAAGACTTGTGCATGGCAAAATAATTCTGTTCTTCTAAGTTGATTCATCTGGAAAAACTTTTTTTTTTTTTCTTCAAGTTTCATTCATGTGGCGATTCAGTTTGGATTAATTTCATCCATGCATTCATGTTAGTGAAAAAAGAATCACATGAACAAAATAAACCGGCCAATTAATGTGTGTGTGTGTATATGTGTGTGTGTATGTATATATGTGTATGTATGTGTGTGTATATATATATATATATCTATCTATCTCATTTGGTTCACAGATCAAGTAAGAAGAAATAACCAAGAGAGGTAAACAATGAGCAGTAAAACAAATACATTTATATTTCTTAGTTAGATATGTGTTTTTTGGGGGGTTAGAAAGGTGATATACTCTTCTATATACTGCTCATGTCTGGGTCCCGATCCGCCTCCTTGGCTGACATCATGCAGAGCGACGAACTTTAGTGCAGCACGATTGCCACTGTAGTTGTCTCTAGGGAGCAACTACAGCTGTAGTTGTTCTAGTGCTTATAATGTCCCTTTACCTAGATTAGTTGTGTGCTAAGTCTATATCACAAAGTGAAATGGACAGGGTGAAAGGCTGTAAATTTGAAGGTAATTTTCAGAACATGGTAAGCATAATAACTTTTTTTGTTTATTGTTGTGCCATTATATGCCACCAGATTGCCATTGATGGTTTGTCAGTAGTGTTTCAGAGACACTGACACTGCCATCCTGCAGTGCTCACAGTCCATCACTGATATTTGTATGTGAAGAAGTAAAATTGTGGCAGCAAAAGAGATGTAGGCTAAATTGCTTCAAAACAGTACCTGCACCAAGATCCTCCGTGCATCATAACTGCAATATGTTGTAGTGGTTATGGTGCATTGAGTGTCTATTTGATTCCCTGTCTAGAACAGGCATGTTAAACTCAGTCTAGCAAGGTCCAAATAAACGAGGTTTGAGTTTATGTGGGCCGCAAAAAAAAAAAAAAATTTCATAGAAATGTAGGTTTATTTTGAAAAGTACAGTGTGTATATATATATATATATATATATAAAAAACAGCACCCCTTGGTACTAAATCCCAGTCCCTCTCACCCCTTCCCCATATATATTAAATCCCAGTTCCCCCACGTGCAGTTTAATGATGCCGGAATATGATGTCATATTCCAGCATTATTACAGACGGCGCGCACGAGAGAGCAGTGAGGAGCATGAATGCTGAGCTCCCTCACTGTGTTACCGGAGGAATAACAGGAACAAACCGCAGAAGCCACACATAGAGATATGGACACAAGTCTTCAGGAAGTAACAGGTCTTTTATTTACACACCAATCTTGTCTCAGATGAACTCCTGTTCCAAAAATATCTGAGCGTCAGAAAGCATGGTGCAGAGGCCTTTTGTTAGCAGCATATTTCCTCCCATACAGTATAACCCCTCCTATATTCCTCAGACCAATCAGCACACAGGATATTCAGGATCACCTTATATAGGCAGACCACATGGCATTTACAGACAAAGGAATGTACTATCCACTTCCACACATGCTCAGTATACTGATGACTCATCCAACTGTTTGTAATCAGATACTAATTTGCATATGCCATGTGGAGATTTCGGCCTACTAAATTTTGACCGTGCTGGAATCCCATCACAGCTGCATCCACCTTCTTCTCCTCCGGCTGGGTAAATTTTAGCAGAGTAGGCACCTACAATGTGGAGAAAGCAGGTGCCTACTCTGCTTTAACACCAAACATGTACTCACAGCTTGCTGGGCCGCAAAGATGTCCATTGTGGGCTGTGAGTTTGACATGCTTGCTCTAGTAAGACACAAAATGTAAACAGGGAAATGTTTTTCAGACACACAGTGGCGTTCAATTTATAAAACTAGAACTTGGTTTATAATGAAATTGGTTTATAGCAACATTGTCATGAGTAAGGATAAGAGAGGATCTGTTAAAATTATCCACCCCTGCCAGAGCATTGTAAATACATAGCAAAGCATGGAATTGAATGGGATGCCATTTAACAATATTAAATTTAAACTAAGCTTGATGTGCCTGATGGAATATGCTTTTGACCACTTGGTGGCAGAGTTGCAACATTGAGATAGAATCTTTAGGCATGAATTCAGAAACAGGCACTTTTATTTTGTTCTGCTTTACATGCTAAATAAATTGCATATTTTCCCTTTTTCTCTGTATCAATCACTGGGACAGATTAAACATACAAATAAATATGTAAAACGTGCACTCCTGGGTCTCAATCCACAAAATTATGTATTACTTTAATTTAAATTGAGTTTAAAAAAAATCATGTAAAAAAATAATAATAAATAAATATATATTAATGCCATGTTACCAAGGTTGAATAATAGTCCAATATTCTCCGGCTACTAGGCGCGTGGGCAGAAGAGAAATAGGGCATAGCAGTTTCACAGTCCATCACACGAAGCGGAGAAAGAAATCAAAATTAAATTCTAAAAAACTGGAACTTGAAAACAGAGAACAGGATATTAACCACTGCTCTGAAAACAGAGGTGGTAAGTCATGTGAGCAGTTGTAAATAAGCAGGATGGCTGCAGATTTTATTAAAGGACACGGAGGCTCTTATTAGGCTTATCTCTTTCTTTTATTCCTCAGCAGCAAAGAAAGCTAAGGTGTTTATTTGTAGAAAAAAACATACATAAATACCCTCACAGGGTTAACCTTACATCATTATCTCTTAACCAATAGGAACAGTCCATCTCTGATATCCTCTCATGTAACCTCCTCCTCTTCCTCTTTCTTTGCTGCTGCCTCAGCTAAGTAACACCTTCATTTTTTCTTGATATGCATTGCTTAATTTGATTCTGTGATTTCTGTTGATTCTGTGTTGTTGCTGCAGTATAATCTCCTGACTACTGTGTTTTCCCTCCCACCCTCAACCCTCCTGTGGGTTCACTCAGTGGGGGTGCCCCTCCCACGCATCCCCGCCGGTTCCCCGACCCCCAGGGCGGGTATACCGGCCGTTCACCTCACTATCGGGTAGTTTATTACCCGTCCTCCCACCCGCGGCACTCGGGCGCTGGGCGCAGGGAAACCCCTGGGAACGGTTCAAACTGTTCCCTGACTGGGTTTTTTCCTCGGCGCCAGTGCCCGCGAGTGAGTGCCGCGCGCGCATGCGCATTTCCAGCCGCAACCCGCGGCGGCCATCTTAAAGGGGCGGCAGACATAAATTTTGCCGCTCTTTTTTCCCCCTCAGCTCGCTCAGCCCAACAAGAAAGGGCGAGCTGATTGGTTTAGAGGCCTGCCTGTCAGCTTACCAGTGCTCCCAGAGGGCATTCCTGAGGGAACACTCGGTAAGCTAACAGTGCAGCCTTTTTTCTGTCCTGTCTTTGCCTTGTCTGACTGTCTACCCTGCCCTGCAGTGTGTAATTAACAGCCACAGTTTTTACTGCCAGACTGTGTGAGTCCCATTATCCTGCCACTAAGTATCTAACTATGCAGGCCCCTAGTGAGCACCCTGTCTCTGGCCCCAGTGATGGTGAGGACACCAACGCCCGCCACCAGACCAAGCTGTCTGAACCCCTAACCCTCCAAGGGGATGCGGTGGCTCCGCTGGAGCAGCTGGACTCGCAGGAGTTCCACTCACTCCTGGATGCCACCATGTCACGGTCGGTCACCCAAGCGATTTATTCTGCAATGGGGGCTATGTCTGACAATCTCTCTCACTCCATCACTACTGCTCTTAAGGCATCCACCACCAATTTGCCCCGCGCTAGAGCCGTGGCAGACGGGTCATTACGCAGGGAAGGCCGGAAAGCCATAAGCAAAACCCATCACGTGCAAACTCCTACCTCCAAAAAAGAATTGACGGACAGGGTACGTCCTGTCACCGCTGAGGTCGTGGGGCCCCCACGAAAGAGAGCCACCCGCCGGGCAAAAGCGGCGCGGACGTGGAAGAGGGCAAAAGCCCTGTCAGATTCTTCCGACACTGATTCGGATAGTGAGGAGGTTTTGAACGAATCCGACGAGATCGACTCAAATGAATGGGAGGTCTCCTCCCCGGACCATAGTCCGTCACGAGATCCAAATACCCTAAGGTATGATAACGCGGATCCGTCCGCCATTTTGGATCCACAGGGCGAACCTCTGTTCGATCCCGATACATTACAGAACCCTAGGTCAGCAGAGTGGTTCCCAACTGAGCATGTGGCACGCTACATAGCAGCCAGAATCCGTAAGCCTTTAGATAAGGCCACCAGGAACAAGTTGCGGGCAGAATGCCCACGGCCAACAGTCCCCGACATGGCCTGTGCCACGCCGGATATAGATCCCAAGGTAGCACAGTTCCTGGGAAAAACTGGCTGGAAGGCAAAGAAGGGATTGGATTACTCCCTACGCCACTGCCAGGACAAGGTACTCGATACACTCGGCCCTAGTGCCAAAATCTTCGAGCTGGTTGAAGCAGCCCTAACTGAGGGGACACCGTTAGATTTGCTAGCCATTAGAGGCTGGGCCCAGAGGTCCATTTGCCTCATCGGCAACGCTAACGCCACGCTAGCCACTGAGCGGCGCAAAACCATTCTTATGAAAATTGAGCCCAAGCTCGTAAACATGGCCCTCACCGAACCGGGGCCACAAGCCAAAGGTCTCCTATTCGGAGACAATTTCGTTAAGGAGTTAAGCACTTACGTAAGCACGTTTACGGCCCTAGACAAGGCACAGACAAGCATAAAAAGAGTGTTCTCTCCCAGAGTTTTTGGTGGAGCCGGCAGACACCGGGGCCGTCTGCCCGGCCGTTCATCCCGTGGTTCATACCGGGGATACCGAGGTCCCGCTACGGCTAGATTTCAGCCGCCAGAAAACAGAGCACCCTCGCCCTTTTTTCCGGTCAGAGGCAGACCATGGCGACCTCGAGGAACCAGAGGCACCTCATACAGCCGACGGCCTTATGGTGAGTGCAATACCTTTCCCCTCCCCGGGTATACACAGCGTAGGGGGCAGACTGTTACACTTTATAGAGGTCTGGCAACACTTGACAACAGACTCGTGGGTCCTAAATACTGTAGTAGGGTACCGCATAGAGTTCGTACAACCCCCTGTCCAAACTACCTGGCCACACCGAATAACATTCTCCTCACACGACAGGGACCTGGTGACCAAAGAGATCCTCTCACTCCGAGAAAAAGGCGCAATATTTCAGGTTCCCTCACCCTTCCCGGGGTTCATGAGCAATCTATTTCTGGTACCCAAGAAAGGAGGCGGAGTCCGCCCAGTCATCAACTTGCGGCCCCTAAACGCATTTGTCCGATACCGCCATTTCAAAATGGAAGGTATCCACTGCTTACGAGACCTGCTCAGAGTGGGGGACTGGATGGTCAAACTAGACCTGCAAGACGCCTACCTCACGATCCCTATAGCGGAAGAATGTCGCCACCTACTCCAATTCCAATGGCAAGGAGCGACATGGAGATTCCAATGCCTGCCCTTCGGACTCTCATCGGCCCCTTGGTGCTTCACCAAGCTCCTAAAACCAGTGGTCGCGTTATTGCGCAGCAGAGGCATACGAATGATCATATATCTGGACGATATGCTGCTCATGGCGCACGAGGCCTGCCAACTCCGACAGCATCTATCCTGGGCATTGACCCTGTTAAGAAATTTGGGATTCCTCATCAATTGGAAAAAATCGGTACTTACCCCATCTCAACACATGGAATTCCTGGGATTCCACATAGACGCAACGACCGGGACGCTCAGTTTGCCAACAGACAAAGTCAAGAGCATAAAAAAGGAGATCCGCAGAACACTGACAAGACCAGTGTTAACTCTGCGACAACTAGCCAGGGTACTTGGACTCCTATCAGCCTCCATCCAGGCAATCTTCCCGGGGCCTCTACATTACAGGGCTCTGCAAAGGCTAAAAGCCTCACATCTACGCTCGGGGCACTCATACTCCGACTCCGTCCCACTCGACCACGAGGCCAAGCAGGAACTCACCTGGTGGCTGCATCATATGGAAGCATGGAACGGCAGGGCTATCTTCGGAACTGCCCCGGACTTCACCATAGAGTCCGACGCGAGCACACACGGTTGGGGAGCGCGCTGCGGGCCTACCTCCACCGGAGGCATCTGGTCACGCTCAGAGAAAGAGTTACACATCAACAGCCTGGAACTCATGGCGGGGTCATTCGCCCTGAGAAGTCTCCTCGGAGCCGCAACCAACTGCTCCATTGTCCTGCGAATGGACAACATATCTGCAGTCCGATACATCAACCACCTCGGTGGCACAAAGTCAAGGATCCTGGCGGACTTGGCCAAAGACTTTTGGCAACATTGCCTGGCACGCAATATTTCGGTACAAGCGGAGTACATCCCGGGCATGTCCAACATAGTGGCGGACTGGTACTCCAGACATCTGCGAGACACCAGCGACTGGCGGCTAGACCGCAGTGTGTTCTTACGACTTCAGACGCTCTGGGGCCCGATGCAAATCGATCTCTTTGCGTCTCGTTTGAACTCCCAATTGCCAACATTCTTCAGCTGGAGGCCGGATCCAGACGCCCTGGCAGCGGACGCTTTTCTCCAACACTGGCCACACAACAGATTGTATGCATTTCCTCCGTTCTCCCTCATAGCTCGAACACTGGTGCACCTCAGGCGGACTCAAACGTCATTGGTCCTCATAACCCCGTTTTGGACAGCTCAGCCGTGGTTCCCCACACTCATGGAGATGTCTATAGACCTGCCGAGACACTTACCAGACGTCTCATACCTTTTAGCAGATCCAGAGGGCAAACCACACCCCCTGTTGGTACAGGGGCAACTCAAACTTTTAGCATGGTTGCTTTCAGGGGACCATGGAGCGTCCCAGAGGTTCCACAGGAAACTATCGATCTACTGGCAGGAGCTTGGGCGCCTGGAACGAGACGCTCCTACCTCTATGCCTGGAACGGATGGAGTAGTTGGTGCATGGAACAGCAGGTGGATCCCATATGTGCTCCTATAAATTACCTGTTGCGTTTCTTTACCAACCTATACAATCAAGGTTTGGCCTATCGCACCATCAACGTGTACAGGTCTGCAATCTCAGCGGGACACCGGGGAATAGATGGGACCCCAGTGGGCCAGCAACAATTGGTATGCCGTCTCCTTCGAGGTATTCGGTTTGCTCGTCCACCGCAACCCCGATACACGTCTCTATGGGACGTCAACTCAGTTTTACAACTGTTAGAAACTTGGCCACACAATGAGACACTCACACTGAAACAACTGTCAGCAAAACTAGTCATGCTCCTCTGCTTGATCTCTTGTAAGAGAGTGTCAGACGTCAGGGCGTTGGACGTTGATGCAAGATCCTTTACTCCCACGGGGGTTTCATTCAACATCTCCAGACGTACAAAGTCATCAATTACCTCAGTTTCGTATCCAGCATTCCCGCATAACCGTAAACTCTGCCCGGTGGTTTGCTTGAAGGAATACGAGACAAGGACCCTGGAATTCAGAAACCCGAGGCACCCGGAATTGTTTTTAGCTATCAAACAACCACACCATCCCGTATCCACGGTAACTCTCGCCAGATGGGTGAGATGGATAATGGCCTTAGCCCACATAGATACAACTGTATATGGTGCACACTCTACCAGGGGGGCCATGGCTTCAAAGGCTTTTAATTTAGGTTGTAAATTGGAAGATATCATGAAAACAGCAGACTGGTCTAGGGCATCGACATTTAAGGAATACTACTTTCGACCTACAGAACATGTGTCAAGTTTAGTTATTGCACAGCTTTAAACTAGCCTAATAAGAGCCTCCGTGTCCTTTAATAAAATTACCAGATTTTACTAATTACATGACGTAAAGTCATGATTTTATAAAGGACACGGAGGCGAGTATTAGCCCACCCAGGGCAGATACAACAAAACATTTGTATCCAAACCCAGGTACGTAATAGGGACTTTTTTTCGTTAAATGAGTTATCATTGATATAAGGTATATGTGTTACGCTATGGTAAATCTATCAAACAAGGAATGATTGCATGTTTAATATATGATTGATTACATAAACAGCTCACCTTTTAATACCATAGTAAGATGAAAATAGTTGGCAAGGACACGTTTTACCATTTGTTTTCTTTGTCTTTCCAGCCTGAAACACAGCTAAAAGATACCCACTGATGACGAGAAATAATCTCGCAGTTTTGAGAGGATCAGTTTCGGAAGATCCCGCGTTATTTGTGGACGGATTCAACTTCAACGTCAAGTATCCAGTTGTCAACCGTTTGTGTGTTTTGGTTATAACGAATTTTGTTACATACTAATGGTGATTTGTTCGCTTCGGCATCATCAAGAAAGAGGAAGAGGAGGAGGTTACATGAGAGGATATCAGAGATGGACTGTTCCTATTGGTTAAGAGATAATGATGTAAGGTTAACCCTGTGAGGGTATTTATGTATGTTTTTTTCTACAAATAAACACCTTAGCTTTCTTTGCTGCTGAGGAATAAAAGAAAGAGATAAGCCTAATACTCGCCTCCGTGTCCTTTATAAAATCATGACTTTACGTCATGTAATTAGTAAAATCTGGTAATTATCAGGCTCAAGAACAGGTCTTTAAAAAAAATGGCATTCTGTCAGCTCGACGGTCTGCTCCCACCTCCCAAAAATGGCTTTTAAATGCGGCACTACAATTAAAAATATAGTAGTTCCAAGTATGATTCGAGGAAATGTGTCGACACCAGCACAGGCTTTGATACCCCTAAGAGGAAATTGGTCTGGTGTATGTAGTCCAGCCTATAGATAAAATTGTGTGTATATAGTAATGACTAAAACATTGTTTACCAAGGGAGCTAGATAAGGTTAAAATTATCAGGAGAATTATAAGTATAAATAATTGGGGGGAGAAAATTGGTTCATTATCTGATGAAATCACCACTGTTACAAAAATAGTTTTCTGATTTACGGACATGTATTGCATGAGGGTTTTTTTTTTCAATGTGATTACAATTCACGATTCCCAGATCATTTTTTTAACCAGTATTGTTACTGAAGTTGGAAAATGTAGCATTCTTAAACAAGGCTTAACTTATGATCTCGCTATTAATCAGGCAATGTCGAGTTTGATAGATCCAGTGTTAATTTTTGCGGCAAATTTCAATGACTAAAAAGCCGTTTTAGTCGTATTTTAGTCATCTGAATTGTTTTAGTTTTAGTCTAACAACTAAAATCTAATGTGTCTGTCTCTTTTGCCTCTACCCTTGCCTTCTGTGTCTCTTTGTATCCTCCCTGTCCCACTATGTGTCTCTCTGAAGCCCTGGTCTGTCTATTTTGACCATTCTGCAGCCCCTCTGTGCAGTGTTAATTTTTGGCAGCAAATTTTAATTTAGTTTCAGTCATAGTCTTTTGACTAAAATGCCATTTTAGTTTTAACCCTATTTTGGTCAACTAAATCTCAAAAATTTTAGTCAACAAGAATTTGACTAAAATTGTTAGTCGACAAAATTAACACTGGGTAGATCAACATGGCAAGGCTAATGATGGACAAAGTTGCGCTTTTGCCAGCTGTTTAAGTACATATTATATTATAGGTTACAGATAGCCAATACGAATAAACTGGCATCAACTGCATCTTGGAAGGGCACCATGAAGTCACCACAAAAGGACACCATTTTAAATGTGCCTAATTAAATAGCATTTGAGAAAAAGAGGGGGAAGTATGATTTAAAAAAATGCAGTGGAAGTGGTCAGGGGGAGGGGGAGTTTGTTGGGAGTGACAAAGTGAGTGTGAAATTGGAGTTTGGAGTTTATTTGCAAACTACTGCTGGGGTGAGTGGGACTGTGAGTGTTGGTAAATGAATGTTGAAAACCACTTGGGGTTTTCTTTCACATTTGCTTGTTTTGGCCATAAGATGGCGCTACAGTTTAAAGATTTAACTGCTCTAAAGAAGAAATAAGTACTGTTAATAGTTTGATATGCTTGTGAAGAAGTGAGTTTACAGTGATTTAAAAATAAAATAAAAAATATGTTGGATAAATGGCTTGGGGAAAGTCTAATAGAGAGGGCCCTAGAGTCTGGCAGGTTAGAGTTGGAAGCGTGAGTATGAGCTGAGAACAGGAAGAAGTGGAAGGGCCATACTTATATATGAGCGAGGATAGACAGATAGGGGCATTTGTGGTATAAACACTAAGTTTTTAGTTATATCAATTTCTGAAAGGGAGTAGAGTGTAGAGAGACAGTGTGTTGGTTCGGCCTCAGATTAGAATATTTTTTTGTAGTTGCCCCAGGAGCCAAATGTAGCCAGTCCTCCAGTGTGTATACTCTTACCACAGCTGTGTCTAATGACTGTTATGATCTAAATTATATCAACCTCTGTCTGTTATTTTCAAAATAAATCCAGATTGGTGTTTCTCAACTTTTACAGAGTAAATCACTGTGGGTCTAAAAGAATCCCCTGCCTCAAGTAAAGCATTTTATTGATTTAAACTCCAACTCCAACATGTGGACATTGATATTTAGGTTAATCCCATATTGGAGAACAAGCCTGATTAAATGTAGTAAAGAATATTTTTAAAATAAATGACGTAATCTGAATATTGTGTATGTAAGGAGGAGTGTATGAACTATTAATCTGAAGTATAACACATACACTTACAAACAGAGGACATTGACATACACGTTTACACACAGAGGACACTAACACACACTTACATGCACAGGAGACACTAACAGACTCACTTACTGACATACACACATTCACTGGCAGAAAACGCACTGATTTGACACACACTGACAGATCCACTCACTGACACACGCTCATTTACTGACAGACACGTACACATTTTCTCATACACAATCACAAATTATTTTTTTAAATTATTTTTATTTAAGCCCACCCAGCCTGTTAGGATCTTTTCCATGGGGTGCAGTGGGCTGGAGTGACGTCATAGGCCGGCATCACTGAAGGGCTCAAAGTAGCAGTGATGGTACAGCACGGACATCAGCGGTTCCTTGCCACGTACCTTCATTTGTCCCTCCGGACACAGCATTTTCAGACAGAGTAGGTACCTCCTATTCGAGTAAGTAGGTACCTACTCTGCCTTACTGCACAGCCAGGAAAGCTCCTGGTTTACCTCCTGCTTTGGTGCATGTACCCCTTGGGATACGGGTAGCACTGGTTGAGAACTGGTTAATATAGTGGGTTTGCTGGCAATTTGATTACATAACAGATTAAAGGTTATAGACAGGAAATATGAATAAAGTGCATCTTAGGAGGGCACCATAAAACCACAGCACAGCATTTTAGACGCTCACTTACCAGCACCTGTGAAAGAGATCAAACAACTTATTGGAAAAGATGCAGGTAGAGGGAGAAGTATGAAATGGAGAATGCATTGGTAGTAGGGGGAAGTGTATGGAAATTCAGACATTTTTATTAATAAGCATAACATTAATAAATAGCATTTTGTGTTAGTCAACACATACAGGAAACATTTACAATAAACAATGAGTTGTTTTGAGGCTGAGCGAAATAACTAATTCAGGTCAAATTATTTAGTTTGTCATTTCATGACTGGCCATTTAGCAAAATTAAAACCAAAATGTGAACTGCCAACCCACAAACTGGTATATATAATTATGATTCTAATGAAAGTTTGATGCTCGACTTGAAAAAATAGATGCATATTACCTGTTAAAATGATCAGGCTTATAGGAATACTGTAGACACGATAACTGCCTCATCTCTTTAAAATGGTTATAGCATCTGGAATCCCCTGGCACAATCCTCCCATTCAGTGTTAGTCACCTGGCATCATCCTTCCATTCAGTGTGAATTCCTTTTTAGTATTTTAATGCTTAACGAAAGTCCTCTGTAACCAAGGGGCATACCTATAGTGGTCACAGCTGTGACCGGGACCATGACTCCAGGGGGCCCGACCGCCCTGTCGACCCCTGCTACCAGCATAACTTCACGCCCGGTGCAGGACACATGCTAGCTCACCAGGTGACTGGCGGGAGGAGAGTGCACAGCATAGTGCTTTCCTCCTGCCAATCACAGTATGTAGAGTGGCTGAGCGGGCCACAGTCTCAGAGGAAGTGGTCACTGAGAGAGCACTTCCTGTCAGGGTACCGAGATCTGCATGGCCATGCTACATGGAGGTGAGGGGAATTGGTGAGGAGACACATGGAGTGGCTGGGGGAGGAAAGCAGACACATGGAGGGGCTGGGGAGAGGAAAGGAGACACATAGAGGGGCTTAAGGGAAAAAGGAGACTCATAGAAGGACTGGGGGGGAAAAGGGGACATATGGAGGAGCTGGAAGGAGGAGAATGTGACACATGGTGGGGCTAGAGGGAATGAGACACATGGAGGAGATAGAGGGGATGAGACGCATGGAGGGACTGTGGGGGAATGAGACACATAGAGGGGGGGATGGGGGATGGGCCCTGGAGGAGAGAATAAGCCACATGAATCGAATGTGAGCAGAGAATGAGTCACATGGAGGGACTCAGTGCTGCTTAGGTTCATGTTGAAGTATTAGCCTTTCACAGCAATGTGGTGGCTGTTATAGGCCGAACGTGTCAGCTGACTGCTTTCAACCTACCACACCAATCTTTGCTGGTATGCATTGGTAAAGCAAGAATGAAGTGTGTAAGGCTGTGGGTTGACAGGGACCCTGATTTAGTGTTAAACTACTTGAAATGGAGGAACGGTGCAAGGGGACTCTAGGCACTATTTCAAATTCAATGATATGAAATGGTTATAGTGCTTACAGTGTCCCTTTAACCATGTGCCTTCAGAGAGAGTGTAAAAACTGGATTTGACAATGACTCTATGTCTCTAACACAAGAGACCACCCACAAGTGCTGTGGTTGCTATGGTATCTCCCTAGCTGATGCTGCTTGCACTGGTTAAAGATTATAGGGAAGGCATGACTAATGTCACTACGCTCAGACATTTTGTTCAGCATGCTGGCAATGACACCCGCATGTCATTGTTATGGAGAAGGTGTGCCCTACTTGAGCAAGCATCCCCAAGCCAAAACGACTGAGAGAGGGTGATCAGGAGGTGGGACAGTGCAGCATGGGAGTAGAGGGAAACGTAAATCCATGAGAGGTTCCCTTTAACCTATTTAAATGCCTTATGAGACTGCCAAAACTTTTTCAGATTTGCTCTTACAACTTCCCTCATAAGGTAAGTATATCAGAAGCTACCAGGGACTGGAACAAGATGATGACTTGAAGCATTTGTCTATTTTAAGGTTAGATGTGGATTATCAAAATGTTTTTTGTTATTGATATAAATTGAATGAAAACAACATGGAGGGAATATGTTTTGGAGATTGCGTCAGAGAAGTATTTTAATTTGTCAACCATTACAATTATTTATACAGTACTCTACTATTGCAGAGAGTTACAATAGGTAAACAAGACAAACAGGCAATTCTAACAAAACATGTTTGACGAACGGGAATAAAAGATAAGGGCTCTGCCCAAACGGGCTTAAATTTGAAATATGATACTCTAAGTTAGCGTTTACCAATCGGTGTTCTGCGGAACCCTGGGGTTCCGCGAGAACACAAATGGGGTTCCGACAAAATTTTGTGAAACTAAATGACGAGTGCGATAATTGAGGGGGGCGGCGAGGGAGCTGAGCAGGAGAGAGTGCTTCATGACTACGGCTTACCTCCTTACTTTGCTTTCTCGCTGCTTGCTCTGAGCTTTGGACCTCCTAACCACACCTACTGTCTGCTCCCTCTCGGATATTGGTGAATTGTATCTTTTTCCTATTAAAGGCCTTCATGCCACCACTGATCCACCAGGGTCCTATTCTCTGATTCAGGAGCCCCTCAGGGTGGTGATTGTAAGGGAGTGCTGTTCCTTATTCACTATTGGACCCCTGTAGGTAGTCACACATATACAGCATGCTTAGTGTTATTTTTCTCTTGTCATTGTCTGCATTTGTTCCCATGTTGAAACTGGGATATTTGCTTTCTCACACTGCCCTTTCGATGTATAACTTTGTAACTGGGCATTTACTGTACATTCAGTTGAGATTATTGCCAAAAGTGACACTTTATGGATTTACCAAATGAAATGTCTGTAAATATTTTGTAACATTACAATCACTCATTCTGGGAAACAGAACAAAGTAATTGTTACAAAGCATTTTGAAATGTTCCAGTAACTTCCCTGTACCCGAGTATTAAAAGGACACAGAAAGTGGGCGTGGTCAAATAAGCCAGACACAGCACTCTGTGCCCCCATGCTATATCCATTGTACAGCGCTGCGGAATATAAATATCATAATAAATATAAAGAAACAAAAAAATGAAAGTAGGTGACACGGCTTAAAACATAAGGCTCACTCTAAGCCTTATAAACAACAGAGTTGAGTCAAACAGGGGCGATAAAGGTTTCGGTTTTATCTTCCAGCAAGTTTTACCATTTGGATTTACACTTGGACTTATATTTGAACTTTCTTTTGCTTTTTCTTTGTTTGTCCTCCTATATATATATATATATACATATAGCGTTTTTATATATGGCTTTTTAATATATTTTTAAATTTTTATATATATGTCATAAAACATCTCTGTTTTTATAATTTCTGGTGCAACCTTTATCCCTCCCTGTTTGACTCATCTCAATTGATTACTTATGCCTTCAGGGCCTGGCATTGCCAGTTGGGCTCTTCCTCCCCTCCCTCTAGACAGGTGGGGGTTATCCTGTTCTCCTGCAGGCTTGATTCTTGCCCAGCTACACCCAGCATGGACTTTGCAGATTGACACCCGAGAGTGTGCTTATTCTGATACCATTTACTTGAAATTGCAGCTGAGCACCTGGCGGCAGTTCCAGAGGTCCCCAATATATGACAAGATATGCAATTAATTCTAGATGAGATTGCAAGCTGTGGCCAATAAATGTTCACAAAACCAGTGGATTGCAACGTCTTCTCTGGGTGCAGCACAGATGGCCTGTGGTGATCTGTCCCTGGGTACCTCATAACTCCAACTGGGATTGCGTCGGGTACCATACGTCAGGCAGCGAACATAAGTGGGTTCTCACCCAGGACACTGCAGTCATCCCTACAGCAACCAAGAATGCTCTTATTTTCAGTGTTCAGGAAGCAGCAAATGTTGCTTTCAACTCACTAATAATAGATAAATAAAAATTATTTTATATATTTTTTACAATCCTCTCTTTTATAAGTCTTTTTCCCCCCATATCTGCACTTATCTCTTTTGTGGGCTTGTCACATCCTCAGATGTCATTGTAGGCTGCAGGGTCATGTTCTGATTAGGTCTGGTCAGGGATGTATTTACCACAAGGCATTTGCCTAGGACAGCACACTCAGGGGGGACGCCAGAAAATGCCACCCCAAGCTCCCATACAAATGTCTTGTTTGCCTCGTGTTCTGGGTCTGTCCACCTTACTGTGAGTGAGTGTAGCTGTCAGTGTGTGTCTGTGAGTGAGTGAGTAAAAGTGTGTTTCTTTCAGTGAGAATGGGTGTGCCTGTGAGTGTGTGTATGTCATTTTATGTGTATCTGAGAGCGAAGGTGTGTGTTAGTTAAACAGTGTGTGCCAATGACTGTATCTGTCAGTGAGTGTATATCAGTGCATGTATCAATGTGAGCATGTGTCTGTCAGTCAAAAAAGTGGCCTTGACACGAATTGGGGGGGCAAATATAAATTTTGGGGGTGCCCAAATTTAGTCGTGCCTAGGGCAGCACAAATCCAAAATACCCCACTGTGCATCAATGAAAGAGACCTGCAACCAGACCCTTAGAAGTGACATGCCGCCCCCCAGAAAATGCTTGGTCATTGTGTAACTTGGTGTCAAAAATGCTAGACAAAAACTCTTTTTTTAAGCTAAAAAAAAAATCAAACATTCATCCAAAAGTTTAAATGGACAAAGAGGGACTCTATCATTTTAGGGGTGCAGGGCTTTTCTGAGAGTTCAGGTGACTTACTAATAATGTACACAATTAAAATGTAATTTAGGACAAAACCAATGCACCTTGTTTACACAGACTGATTTCCAGACACATTTATTGTAGTTTAAAGACACTTTACGGTCAGCATTATTGCTGTAGAGCTCTGTTATATTCTCTGACACTCCAACAACGTGGAGCTCCGAGAAAAGGACATTAGGAGAGAAAAGAGGGACTGTCCCTCCTAAATAGGGACACTTGGGAGGTATGACAGAGTGCCGGCCATTCACATGGCTATTCCCGAGCCTGCCTGTGAGGACATGTGTGACAGAGCCCGGACCTGCACACGTGGAGCCTGGCTGCTGCTGTTGGAGCAGCACTAGCTCCAGCCACACCTGCCACGCCCACCAGTGTTTGACAGCTGGCCCCGCCCATTTTGTGTCACGTGTGCCTGCCCATGCCAAGCAGAGCGAGGGGGAGGGAGGGGCCGCGAGCGCCCCGCGTTCTGCCTCTGGTTCAAACTGCAGCTCCCCGGCACGAGACGGCCACCCGCCACGCTGAGAGGCTAGCGGAAACCGGTGACATTTGGTCACGTGACCGGCGCGGGTGGGGGCAGTGTGAATCCGGTGGGCTCGCGGTGCCGCCGCTTTGCGCATTTTCAAAACGTCTCTCCGTGACGCGAGTTAGATAAAAAAAAAAAAGCGACGCGGGAAAACCGACTTGAAGAGAAGCGCATGAACCACGCCCATATTATCCGCGTGTGCCACGCCCCTAAATGCCTATTGGCCTCGCCTTTCTGACAGCTCATCCCTATTGGCCGAGTGTTCTGAGTCGCTGGGCTGGCCCCGCCCATTTTGCCCTCTGTGCTGTGTCCGTGCATGGGGAGCGCAGAGCTCGGGGCAGAGGGGGAGCGAGCCGGGCACGAGCCGGACACAGCCGTTATCAGCGCAGCGGGCACCTCGGACATGACCCGGCACCACTGAGGGCACGATCACACCATGGCCGGGAAAACACGCAGGTAACAGCGGGCAGGAGTACACGGAGTACAGGCCCATCACTGTACACAGAGACAGCTCTATCACTATAGACAGAGACAGCTCTATCACTATACACAGAGACAGCTCTATCACTGTACACAGAGACAGCTCTATCACTGTACACAGAGACAGCTCTATCACTGTACACAGAGACAGCTCTATCACTGTACACAGAGACAGCTCTATCACTATACACAGAGACAGCTCTATCACTATAGACAGAGACAGCTCTATCACTATACACAGAGACAGCTCTATCACTATACACAGAGACAGCTCTATCACTATACACAGAGACAGCTCTATCACTACACACAGAGACAGCTCTATCACTACACACAGAGACAGCTCTATCACTATACACAGAGACAGCTCTATCACTATACACAGAGACAGCTCTATCACTACACACAGAGACAGCTCTATCACTACACACAGAGACAGCTCTATCACTACACACAGAGACAGCTCTATCACTATACACAGAGACAGCTCTATCACTATACACAGAGACAGCTCTATCACTACACACAGAGACAGCTCTATCACTACACACAGAGACAGCTCTATCACTACACACAGAGACAGCTCTATCACTATAGACAGAGACAGCTCCTATCACTATATACAGAGACAGCTCCATCACTGTACACAGAGACAGCTCCATCACTATAGACAGAGACAGCTCCATCACTATAGACAGAGACAGCTCCATCACTATACACAGAGACAGCTCCATCACTATACACAGAGACAGCTCCATCACTGTACACAGAGACAGCTCCATCACTATAGACAGAGACAGCTCCATCACTATAGACAGAGACAGCTCCATCACTATATACAGAGACAGCTCTATCACTATAGACAGAGACAGCTCCATCACTATACACAGAGACAGCTCTATCACTATAGACAGAGACAGCTCCATCACTGTACACAGAGACAGCTCCATCACTATACACAGAGACAGCTCCATCACTATACACAGAGACAGCTCCGTCACTATACACAGAGACAGCTCCGTCACTATACACAGAGACAGCTCCGTCACTATAGACAGAGACAGCTCCGTCACTGTACACAGAGACAGCTCCGTCACTGTACACAGAGACAGCTCCGTCACTGTACACAGAGACAGCTCCGTCACTGTAGACAGAGACAGCTCCGTCACTGTAGACAGAGACAGCTCCGTCACTGTAGACAGAGACAGCTCCGTCACTGTAGACAGAGACAGCTCCGTCACTGTAGACAGAGACAGCTCCGTCACTGTAGACAGAGACAGCTCCGTCACTGTAGACAGAGACAGCTCCGTCACTGTAGACAGAGACAGCTCCGTCACTGTAGACAGAGACAGCTCCGTGACTGTAGACAGAGACAGCTCCATCACTGTAGACAGAGCTCTCTCTCTATATACAGAGAGTAACCAGTGACAGCTCTATCACTATATACAGGGAGTAACCAGTGACAGCTCACACTATATCGAAAGTGTAACCAGTGACAGCTCTATCATTATAGAGAGTGCACAATGACAGCTCCGTCACTATAGACAGAGACAGCTCCATAACTATAGACAGAGCTCTCTCTATATACAGAGAGAGTAACCAGTGACAGCTCTATCACTATATACAGGGAGTAACCAGTGACAGCTCACACTATATAGAAAGTGTCCCCAGTGACAGCTCTATCATTATAGAGTGCACAATGACAGCTCCGTCACTATAGACAGAGACAGCTCCGTCACTATAGACAGAGCTCTCTCTATATACAGAGAGAGTAACCAGTGACAGCTCTATCACTATATACAGGGAGTAACCAGTGACAGCTCACACTATATAGAAAGTGTCCCCAGTGACAGCTCTATCATTATACAGAGAGTGCACAATGACTGCTTGATCACTATATAGAGAGTGTAACCAGTGACCGCTCCACCACTATACAGGGTGCCCCCCAGTGGCCGCTTGGCCACTGTACAGGGTGCCCCCCCCCAGTGGCCGCTTGGCCGCTATACAGGGTGCCCCCCCCCCAGTGGCCGCTTGGCCGCTATACAGGGTGCCCCCCCCCCCAGTGGCCGCTTCATCTCTATACAGCGAGCACTCCTTGACAGCTTGATCACTATACACAGTGCACCCAGTGACCACTTCATCAGTATACAGCGTGCACATTGACAGCTTTGTCACTATACAGGGAACACCCACTGACAGCTTCATTATACACAGGGTGCAACCAGAGGAGTGTAGCTGCCTACTGGTTAGACAGATCTGGCCACATACAAGGTGCAAGTAATGAGATCTTGTACCCTGTAGCAGGTATGTCTGCTGGGTATAATTAGTGTCTGGGCTTGTCATCCTTGGCAAAATACTAGTACACCATGAATTGTCATCTAAAAGTGACAGATAAGGAAAGAATGGGATTAATGTATGGCAAACAATGAAATCATAATATTGGTAGTATACATTAAAAGCTGGAGTATGTTCGTTCAATTGCTTTTAGGAGGGGTCTACCTTGACGTTGGCAGGTGGGCATTCCCTCCAATGGCCATTGGAGTAACTAAATGACTTCAATTTGTCTGGGGATTAGGGAGAGAGCGCAGGTAACATGTTTTTTTTTTTTTTTCTAATGGAATAAAGACTACAGATTAGTTTAGAAACGTTATTTTGTTTACTTTCAGAACAGATCAAAATTAAACCTTTATTCACCATGCTTGTACTATAAGCATTTGTTTTCCTTAAGCAACTTTTTTTCAATCCATTCGGTGTTATATTTTCTGTTTTATTCCTTTTTTTTTTTTTTTTCCTGCAAGCATTAGAAGAATGCAAGTTATATGTTTTTTCCTATGTATGTTTAGCCTGAAGTTGATATTGTTGGATTCAACAAGGTGTACTCATTTGATGTATCTGTTTTATTCAAACATTATCCCTTGAGTTGTTACAGTTACGAGTGAGGCATTGTTTTTTGTTTTGTTTTTTGAATGTCCTTTTGCTGTTTTGTCATTTTAAAGCTGACCTTTTCTAACACACTAAAAGCATGGATTCACCGCACTTGGCAAATCTTTTACTATGAGTGGAGTGAGTGCATCTGGGTCAGGCATCAACTATCAGGCTGCTGGTACGATAAAGAGGCTATTGCTGCAGTGTTGATTATTTTCAAACTAGCTACTTTTTATTGTAGAAAGAATAACTGTGTACAGTGATCTGTACTTACTTTACAAGAGAGTTTATTTTAGATGGCATCGTATAGTTATAGTATGTGTAATATTATGTTTGCCGATATGATTGAATTGGGTGCCTGTTACAACTGCCAATGAATTGTAGAATAAAACCAAAAAAAAGCCCTTTTTCTATAGTTGTACTTATATTCATGTCTTTCAGTTTTATTGTACCATAGTATGGTCTTACTTTTATTGTGTAAGCCAGTTTGTACACATGTAATTGTGATTTTACTCAGGTCCATGTGTATATATTATTATTATTTTTTTTTTTTTTTTATATCATGCATTCAACAGGTTGAATGCACAGTTTGGTAAATTTCAGTAATCGTGAACCACATCTTTATCATTGTTGCATGTCAGTGATTTTGTCAAAAACCGCAAAGTTCCTCATTTTTGACTCACCTGCTGTTTGTCATGTCTGACTGGGAGCATGGTTATTGTAGTATGTAGGTCAACATTTTAATATCACAACAAGTACAGATAGATGCCTGCTGGGCTACGTGTTGTTGTTGTTGTGTTTTTTTTTTTTTTATTGTAAAATAATCATTCATGCTTTCCTTTATTGTGTTTGAGAGTTTAAATGAAAGTCTACAGTAATGCTGTTCTCTATGTGACGTGAAACATATTAATTTTTTTTTATTTATTTTTTTTTATTCAAACTAAAGTGATCCGTTTGGACAAAACTTTACTGATTTTATCAGCTTGGATAAAGATTTGTTAGTTTCATAAGTTATGCTAATAACTTGAGTTCACTTTGCCTGAGATGGGGTGACTTGCCCATGTCAGTATCACTGAAGTTTTTCATTAGTGTTTTTGTGAAGCACTTAACACAATATGTCTTGCTTGTTAAATTGATCTTGCACTAGTCTGTTATATTTGCCAAGGTTGACTAGTGATCATTTTGGTGAAAAATTCTATTAATTAGCAAATTTATGTATTGCCCATTGACTATTTTAAAAATTATGAAAATAAAGTTGAATGTGAAATGTTGCAATACATAGGAATTATCTAGAATTTCATTGATTTAGTTTAAGTAGAGATGAAGATCTTTCTTTAAAACAAAGAATGTCAACGTACTTTTGAAATTGACTGCTTGTCGAGACGTGGGATCTCCTTGGCTCCGTTTTAAAAACCCTCCTATAAGGCATAAAATACCTAATTCCATATGCAGTGACCTTTATTCAGTCCAAGTGATACCCCCTCCTATGTCCTTAACAAGGAAATATTCATTATAGAGTGAATGGCTTCCCTGAGACGTGAGCCTATGGTCTTAGCTTCATAGCGATCACCTCGCCTAGAGCCAGTATTGTGAAAGGAGATATTTCATTTTTTTTTTTTTTTTTGTTACACTTTTTTTTTCATTTTTGGATTTCTAAAATGGAAACCTGAATTTTGTTGATGTACCTTTGACTATAAAGACTACATTCTTTATTGTTTGCTGTACTAAACTATAAACAATCATGTAAACCCAGACTGGATACTATCTTGGTGTAAATCGCTGTGATATACTATATGCATTAGCTGGACATGGATTCATATACACATCACAGGAAAAAATATAAATAAAATACAAGTTAAACATTTTATATAGCTATCGGTAGCCATATGTATATGATTTTGTAAAACAATTCATCATGATATTCTATGTGTCAGGCTTTCCCATATGGTACTTGGTGAGAGAGATGAATTCAATGATCCCATGTACTGTGATTGGCTAGTCCATTATCACAGGTGTTGGGGAATTAAGACAATAAATGATGTAGTGGAGCACATTGATTGGATCATGCACACACTATTGGGTTGCTTTACATTTTCTAATCCCTGTCTAGCATATTTTCACCTTTAGCTGTCATGAAATCTGTATTATTTGCTCATGTTTTGATATTTTATTACCATATTCGGATTTCTTTTGTATCGTCTTAATAAATAGCTACCTCCAGTCTGAGAAGTTACCAATATGGGTGCTGTCAGTCCCTTATTTACGATTTGCGATGTTTGATTGAAGTACATTTTTCTGTTTTGCAATTGTATTTATTTTTTGCACAGCTGCTGAAAGAGGACATTTGTTTCAGTGTTCAGAAACAAATCATTAACATAGATGTTGCATGAGAAATGCTTTTGTTGCTGAATGTTTGTGGATGTTTGCCCATTCCATTATTAAACCATTTTGATCTCTGTTTAGAGACACATTGCAAGAACCATCATTTGCAAGTTAACTTTAGATTTATTTATGTCCAGCAGAAATGTGGAATGGATGCAGTTTCCTCTTTACTTTGTTAGCTGTTTAATTTCTTATCTAAATAATATTTAAAAAGAATCAACCTAAGAATGGCAGATATGTATAAAATAAAATTTTATGCTGATAGTCTCAAGCTTTTCCAATTTATTAAATTTATTGTGTGATTAAATTTATGTGCTTTATTCAATTTTATGGGGGCCAAAATATTCCATACCACACCTCTTCTGTCATTGTATTGTATATTTTCATGTTGTGTGTTCTTTAAACTTTGATGAATCCATGCTCACCCCCAAGAAACCCAGTCCCCCATGCCTAGCTTGAGTACAAATGCATAAGGCCTTATGTGCTAAATTGTTCATGAAGCTTCATCTTTGCCCATGAGATTAATGTACGGTTGTACCTTTCTGAAAACGGACTTTAAATCTCTTACTAGCCTAGCACGGGAGGATTTACAATTTCTTTTATTTGATGTTTTATAACCATTGGTATAGGCTGGTAACCATGAGTTTAGCAAACATTTGCTATTCTGACTTCAGTCATTATGCTTATTAAAAGTAACCATGCTTGTGCTGATCATACACACACCCATGTTAAAACGACTCTTAAAGTGTTTGTATAGCGTAGCAAATCTGCTATCATGTAGTCTGTTTGCATAGATCTGTCAGAGCTGGTTGCAATTTCATAGTCCGATTCTTTTAACAAATACTTTTGCTTTAAAAAAACGTTATCACTCTTTTCAATCATGATGTAACCTTTCACATATGTGTGAGTTTTGGAACCATCTAAATATCATTTTTACCTGTTTATTTAAATAGATACGTTTTTACTTTAGCTGCATTTTTAACATGTGCAGTAATTTGGGAATAGTTCATTATAACAGTAATATATTGATCACAGTGTGTGTTCTCGAATTGGTTGATTATTTAAGTGCCTCACACACACTTCTCTTTAACCTTGTTTACGTGTCTGTTCCTGGTTTAATATCTAAAATCCTCCCCTTTTTTTTTTTTTTTTTTTAAGCTTGGAAATGCAGTTTTTTTGTTGTGTTTTTTTTTTTCCCTCTTACCTCTCATTACACATGCAGATGGTTTGACACCATTTGGTATTTAGGTCTTGTCTCAGGACGAATCCTCGTTGCATTTGTAGAATATAAATTGGAAATGCTGTACATACAGGGTTTGAAAAGTGAATAACGGATGGCGTAACTTCTGTAATGCTAATGGCATCTTCACTACCCTGGCAACCCAGCCTTTGGCTTCACTGCCCAGGAATGCACTCTGGAAAATGTGACTGCAGTCTACTGGACAAACACTACTGCGTCACTTCAAGGTGTTAACCCTTGTGGGGCAGGGTTTTATATTTTTAACACTTGGGGATAGGAACAAACAGATTTTAAAAAAATATATATTTTCACTCATTATTAATGGTGTTGTACATTTGGAATAATTTGTTATGCATTATCTACATTGAAATGGTGTAACACTATTAAGGAAAACAAATTATTATATTTAAACCATCTTTTCAGTGTGAAGGTTAGACATACAATCATTGGTGGTAAAGGGATTAATAGTAAAAGGGACACTATAGTCACCAGAACGACTACAGCTTATTGAATTTGTCTTGGTGAGTAGAATCATTACATTCAGGTTTTTTGCTGTAAACACTGTCTTTTCAGAGAAAATGCAGTGTTTACATTACAGCCCAGTGATAACATCACTGGCCACTCCTCAGATGGCTGTTAGCGATCCTTCCTGGGTCATGGATGCCTAAAATGCATCCAAACATTCAGTATCTCCTCCCTCTGCATGCAGACACTGAACTTTCCTCAGAGATTAATTGATTCAATTGCTTATTGGCCAGGCCTGTGTTTGAATCATGCAGGCTCTGCCCCTGATCTGCCTCCTTGTCAGCCAAGCCTTTGGGGAAGCATTGTGATTGGATCAGGCTACCACTTCTGATGATGTCAGCAGACTGCTTGTTTTTCGGAGTCTAACAGCATGCAGAGTTACAGCTTCAGGCTTGAATGCGGTAACATTTTTACTATATTTATACATCTATATATTTAGACATGAGGGGCCCAAGGGGGCTACATGGTGGTTTTAACACTATAGGGTCAGGAATACATGTTTGTGTTCCTGATCCTATTGTGATCCTTTAAGTTCACAAAGGTCTAATGCAAGGATGTGTTTATGTAATGCAAAGTAGTTTTAAGTTGTTGGTTTTTGTTTTTTGGTTTTTTTGTGTGTGTTTTTTGCAGAGTTACAATATTTAGCCAGTCAGTTTCAAACACGCAATAACTTTTATAGAAGGAAGTGTGTTTGTGTAATAGTTTGTTGGTTTTAGTCCACTTTTATCCACGCAATTAATGACTGCAGAGTTTTATAGCTCTTCTAGTGCCAAACAAAGCAGGCATTTTGTGTTGATGACAAAGTGTAAAATGTGTCTCTTGTGGAATTAAACCAGAGATCTTTGTTAGGAACCATACTAAAATGTGTTCTGGCTTCATTTTAAAGCTGTCCAGGTGGGTCATTGGTCATTATGGGTGGATTTGAAAAAGAGAAGATTACAGGAAATGGTTATATACTGTATGAAAGGTAATTGTGAAATGCTTGTCAAATAATTTCTTGTTGCTTAGGACATAAGGTATTGTTCTTTTGGCAAGATATAAGCGTAATGTCGAGTTTTGATTGCTATATCTAGATACATACAGGATAGTGTGTCTAGTAAAGTTGAGATTTTGAAACCGTCTTATTTTGTGAAATGCCTGTAGGAATAGAGTTTGTAAATGTAGTGCAGAATGTGAATAGTTTGGAGAAGCTATATATAATATTTTATGGATGAACAATCAAAATGTTTAATGGTAAGGGTTTGTGAAACAGGGTTGTTGTATCCATGAATCTAAACACCGCATGACTGCGGTAAGTATAGATTGTAGAATGATGATTGTCTTAGAAGGCCTGGCCCTGACCCACGTGGAGCACACTGTAGGTAGAACACGAGTCTTGGTCACTAAAGTCATCCAGACAGACATGGCAACGACTCTGAACTGGGCTGATGGCCCCCGTTGTCTTTACTGAAACATTAAATGTGTTTAGAAGCAGGATTAGTTACATACTGACCCTGTATATAAGCTTTCCAGAATACTCTCAAGCTCTATTAGACCATACAAAATAATCCTGGATGGTCTTGAATGGTGGTAATGTTTATTTATTGCGGTGTAGTGTAATATCATGCCATTTGAAAAGAACCTCTGTATGTTTCATAACCAAGATCAAATGGAGGAACATCTGCCTCAGTACTACAGGCAGGCAAACCATTGGATTGTGCTATTAGAATAAGTATTGTGTTACTGATTGCAGCAAGGCTGAAGTTGATTCATTTTAATTTGATGTTCAGAGTACTTCAAAGTCAATGGAGCTTTTAAGCTAAATTATATTTCACAAAACTTTTCTTGGACAGGTTGTTTATAGGCTGATGGGTCTTGCAGTTGGCCTACTCATATTTAAAAGTAAGTATTTTATTTTTCCGTCCAATGAAGTGTTAATTTAACTTCTCAAGAAGGTTTTCTTTACACATTTTTTGTGTATCTTGGTTAACGTAATGTGTAGTCCTTCTGTTTTTTGTTTACCATTTTTAAGTGGTTTGATAAAAATCCAGGGTCAACTGGCACCAAAGCTCCACGTCTTTCCTGCTGCCAAGAAAATGAAAAGATGTCACAATCCAGTTTTAGATCCGTGTATTTTGGCGGCAAATTTCAACTTAGTTTTAGTCATAGTCTTTTGACTAAAAAGCCATTTTAGTTTGTCGTATTTTAGTCATGTGAATTGTTTTAGTTTTAGTTGACTAAATCTCCAGAAGATTTGAGTCGACACAACTAAAATCTAATGGGTTTAGTTAAAACCTTTTATCTCTCTCTTGCCCCTTCCCAGCCCTTTTGTGTCTGTGTCCTCAAAATCCTTCTAAGTGTCTCTCTCCCACAGCCCCTCTGTGCAGTGTTAATTTTGGCGGCAAATTTCACTTTTGACTAAAAAGCCCTTTTGGTTTGTCATATTTTAGTCCATCTGAATTGTGAATTGTTTTAGTTAGCTAAATCTAAAAAAATCTTAGTCGACTAAAATTGTTAGTCGACCGTATTAACACTGTTTTAGATGTCCTTTCCAGATTAGTGTTTCACTGTTCTTTCCTCTCTTGCATTGTACATAGGTTTTGCATAAAAATATTTATTAATGAAAACCATTGCTTTTCTAATACCCAAAATAAAAATAACAAACTATTTAACCAGGAAAAGTACATTATGATTTCTCTGGTTTTCAAGTACGTCCTGGGGATGTAAATAAACTTCATTGCTTTTCTACACACAGCTTTTGTCACCGATTTTTACACTTGCTTAGTAGTATTTTATTACCATAGTTTACAATGAATTCTTACATATTGGTTGAGGCATACAAATTGACCAACATTGTGTTTTGTATTCACAGCGAGGACGATGACGATGATCTTCAGTTTGCAGACCATGAAGTTCCAGTTCAGAAAGGTGTAAAGAAAATATGGAATAGAATAAAATGGACAAGAGATGAGGTATCCAAGTTTAAGGCATGGTATTTTATAATTTATAACTTTTTCAAATTTATTTACTGGTTGCATTTATTCTCCCTTGTAAATGTTTTATCAGGATGACAAGCTGAAAAGACTTGTCGAACAGAACGGGACAGATGACTGGGCATTGATTGCATGCCATTTTCTGGTAAGACTGATATGAACGAACATCTAGAGAGGGCATAATAGGTCTTATTATGGTCCATGTAAATGTGCTATAGTGCAATAAACCATACACCACAAGAATGGCTGTGTAGTTTGAGTGGTTACCTTTGTTCTACAACATGATCTACAAAATCATGGTCTAATCTAAACAGTCACTCTGTGTGGTTTTGGTCTTTGTAGGTGGTACCCTTGGAAAGTCTGTGTGTTTAATTCACTAAATAGTAGAATTGTAGTGTACTGGAAAATCTGTAATCGCTGCTCAGGAAAAAATTCTCCCACTTTGCTTTTAGTCACGGCTAAAAAAGAAATAAATTGTATGTAGTGTTAGTTTTTTATTTTGAGTTTTCAACTCACTGCAATTTCCTGCTTAATGAATAAGTCCTTGTGTTTACAGTAAAAAGTTGTGCACTGTTTTCAGTCACAGCCCACAAGTTGACTTCATGGCTACCAGGTAGCTTGTCAAACATGTTCTCCACTGAGAAGACAATAGTACCTGTGCTGGCTTTCAGTATAGCCATCATTTGATACTCCTGCAACATTGTAAGCCAAAATATTTGCTTGTGGTAGAAACAGTTCTCTTGGTGAAAAACTTTCCTTGTTATGCAGACCTGTATTATTTCTCATTCTTTACATCCAGTTTTATTTAGCTGTTTTTTTTTTTTTGTGCCCAGGAGGTATTTCATGTATTTCATTTGATGTGTTGCATTGGATGTGTTCAATACATTATGACAAAGTAGGTCAACTTTTGTCTTTATATACCATGCGTGGGAGATGATTTGTCTGCCTGAATCCTTAAACACTATCATCTTTCATAATCCGAAGACTTTTTAGTTAACATTATGTGAACTGTTGCATACATTTTCACAAACTAAAATTGTAAGTGTCTATTGTAGAGTTCAGCAGTGCTGGCCAACATTTGTTTTAATATGCTTTTGTATATTAATTGATACCATTTTTAGAATCGTTCAGATGTACAATGCCAACATCGATGGCAGAAAGTTTTAAATCCCGAGCTCATTAAAGGTCCCTGGACCAAGGAAGAGGATCAGCGGGTGAGTTTTATTCTCCTTTGTGTTTCACTATGTGCTCGATCTATAAATTACTGAATTATACTTTTGAGAGATTGCCAATTTATTTGCGTATAAACTTATTTTTCCTTTATATATGGCTGAGCCATTGTAATGGCATTCCACCTAAAGTAGAAGTTTGTGTGTTTTAACAAGTTTATTTACATTTGTTCTGGTGCTTCTTTTAGCTATAATATGTCCATTATTAATAAATGTTTTACAGGACACTATTTGAATTTAAGTTTATGAGAAAATCTCTTGGTTCTCTATCATTTTTGCAGATTTTATAAATGGCATTAGAAGCTATTTAATCAGAGATATAAAGTAATTTATACTGTGATAGGTACACCAGATTAAAAAAATTAGACAAGGGGTGAGGGTTTACAAAACACGATTGGTGATCATATGGTATATTGTGTCTCCAAAAACCCCTTGTTCGTTTTTTTGTTTTTGTTTTTTTTACTTCTGGATCCTAAGCCTCACTGTTTAATGGATATACCCAATGTCCTGCTAAAATAATAAGAGATTAGAGTTTTCCTCCTAATATTTGTAAATGTTTCTCTACCTCTCTAGTATGTTTTGGGATAAAAAAAAACCAAAAAAGAAACATTAAAAGCCAGTAGTAAGGCATTTACATCTGCTATCATCAATAATTTTTTTTACATGCATTAATGTTACTCTAGTCAGTATTTTCGAGATGTCTAATCAAAATATGTGTTGACTCTGTTAATGGTTAAGAAAGCATTCATTTTGTTGCAGGTATGTCATAATTTCATATGGAAACATGTTAGAACAAAGCATTTTTTCTTGGATAGCTTTTTAATTTTTCGGTTTCCTTTTATAACAGGTCATTGAACTAGTTCATAAATATGGTCCGAAAAGATGGTCTTTGATAGCAAAGCACTTAAAAGGGAGAATTGGTAAGCAGTGCAGAGAAAGATGGCACAATCACCTTAACCCAGAAGTGAAAAAGTCTTCCTGGACGGAAGAAGAGGACCGCATCATTTACGAGGCTCATAAACGTATAGGCAACCGTTGGGCTGAAATTGCAAAGCTGCTTCCGGGCAGGTATTTGTGTTTTTTATATACGTGTGAGATCAAAGTGTGACAATTATATTTCTGATTAAGTTAACTCGATCGTATTAGAGAAGCTAGAGAGAATGCACAGAACATTATCTGTTAAACTAGCACAAGGAGTATTATTGAATAAATGCCTCATAAAATGACACAATTTACAAAGTGAAATAAAGATCTATTACGACTGTCTTGAACCAATTAAATAGATTAAATTTACTTTTTTTTTATAAAAATGACATTTGTTATAAAACCATGAAACTATAAATTCATCTATTTATATTGGTTCCATGCAATGCTTTTACTTCTTGATTTCTCTTTGTGAATAATCATGTTCTTTAATGTGGACTCGTATTCACCCCGTAATACTTTGAGGATACTTGTTGAATACTAAGATTTGGGTATTCATAGGGTTTTTAAAAAAAAAAAAGAAAAAGAAAAAAGCAATCTGGTGCTTCCTGTGACCCATTTCTATATTTCAATTACTCTATCTCTAGTTTCACCTTTCCCTGAAACTCCCTCCTCTTCACTTTCACTCAGTAGCAAGTCGCTCTGTCATTCAGTCGCTCTGTTCCCCTGGGGCTCACATATATTGTATTTAAATATGTATGTATGTGTGTGTGTATATATAATATTTTGCAGTGGTAAGTACCTACCAAATATGTGCAAGAAAGGACAACTGGTGAACTTATGTCATGGGGTCCTAGGCTCATTGATGCAAGGCTAGCCTGTTTGGTCTGATCACACAGAAGAGCTACTGTAGCTCAAATTGCTGAAAAACTTAATGCTAGCCATGATAGAAAGGTGTCCAAACACACAGTGCATTCTAGTTTTCTCAGTAGCCTCAGACTGGCCAGAATACCCATGATGACTCCTGTTCCCTTAAATAGGGAAGTGAGTGTCAACTGGAGCCATGGAAAAATGTTGCCTGGTCTGATGGATCATTTACGTGGGGAAGATTTGGCAGCAGAATGCACTGGGGGAAGAAGGAAGGTTGGCGGAAGCATTGTTATGCTCAGTGCCATGATCTGTTTGGGGCCTGGCATTCACGTGGATAGTATTTTGATACATACCACCACCCTAGAGATTGTTTTTTTTTTTTTTATCATGGCAATGGTGTTCCCAGATGACCGTGGCCACTTTCAGCAGGATAATACATCCTGCCACTCTGCAAAATTTGTTCGGGAATGGTTTGAGAAACATGACAGAGTGCAAGTTTTTTTTCTTGGCTTCCAAATTTCCCAGATATCAATCCGCTTGAGCATCTGTGGGATGTGCTGGAACAACAAATCTGATCCATAGAGGCCCCACTTGCAACTTGCAGGACTTAAAGGATCTGCTGCTAATGTCTTGATGCCAGATACCAAAGGACACATTCATATGTCTGTTGGAGTCCATACCTCGACGGATCAGAGTTATTTTGACAGCATAATGGGAAACTTACACGATACCAGGAAGGTGGTTTAAATATTGTAGCTGGTCATTGCCATTTTAGAATTGTTGCCACTTTATTATATTTCCATCTACTTTGTATAAAAGAGCTTCAATGGCTAGATCTCCGGTCTCGGTCAGGGCCCTTTTTACCTTTTGTATTGGTCTGTGTATATAGTGCTGTCTTTTCCCCAATTGTTCAATGTTGTAGAATTTGTTGGTGCTGCTTTAAGAATGCCAATAATGCTTATAGTGCCATTTATAGGAACATAAAATCTTTTAATGAACTACATTTTTCTTAGGACTGATAATTCCATAAAGAACCATTGGAATTCTACCATGAAACGCAAGGTGGAACAGGAAGGATACCTGCAGGATGAAAATCAGAACGATCATCTACCCAAATTTCGTCCTGAAGTGTGCGCTGCACTGGACCTGTTGCAGGCACGGAATCCATTCTACAATCCAGTCCAAATCCAAGTAATAGTCTTGTCTTTAAAACATGCAAACATCCCTTCCCTGCATTATCTTACTAAGCCTCTTACTCCTTTGAATTGAAATATGAACACTTTTGTTGAGCATGATCATTGTATGACTGTTGGTTCATTTGAGACAGATCTGTACAATCTTTGGTTGGATCAAAGTGGAAACGGTTGTATTTTCCTTCCTTCCAGGTTCCAGGATACCAGTACATGCAGTCTGATGACCGCAGCATAGAAAGTGTTCAGAATTCCTTTGGTTTTATTCAGGTAAAGTTCAAAATGCAAAATGGGTAAACCAAGTCACTGTACTTGTTTAACAACACGATAGACATTTATTAGAATGCTTAAATTGAAAAAGTACAATGTTACAAATGATCACATGTATTTTAATAATTGCTTGGTTTATGTCAGGGGTGAGCAAGCGGTTTATCCACAGATGTTGTGGAACTGCTTCTTCCATGATGTTTTGCCATTCTAAAGGTGGCCGTTTGCCCAGCCCAGGCTTAGATGAATATCGGAGTGGGTTTTAAGGATATTTAAATAAAGTGTACATAAAGTAGATTAATTGATATTTTTAGTATGTGTGTATATTACCTGGCTCATATAAAAAAAAAAAATATTTTATGGGGACCTAGCAGAGGTGTTTTTTTTTTTCTTGTTAATTAACCTTTTGATGGTTGCCAAGTTTCAAACCATTTTTAAGAACTTGTTATCTTTTTATTCCAGCTAGGCAGTGGGATCATAGTACATGCTATCTACGCCTGCAATACAATTGCTAAGGCTGACAGGATTTTTTGTAAAGTGAACATTCAAAAGGAAATTCAAACTTAAGGCCAGAGTAGCCAAATGGAAACTATAGATGACTTGGATCATGCTTCCAATTTGACTATTTTGGCCTTAAATTTGAAGTTCGCTTTAGTAAATATCCATTCTGAGTTATGATGTTGCTCATGGCATCGAAGCCAATCTCGACCTAGAATAATCCTACAGAAGGAAAATACATCCTCAATATATTTAATAAAGGAAGGGCAACAAAACTGCTTGACCTGTACGATGGGTTTTATACTTAAATTGTATCTTCTGTCACAAAACCATATATGAAGCCTTATAATAGAAGTTGGATGAAGTATTAATAGTAATCAATTTCAATTGTTTTTGCAAACGTTTTTTAATTGATGAAATTGGCTTATATCTTAAACGTGGTCATTTTTTTTTTTTTTTTTACATGTTATTTTGCTTAAAATTACAAGGACGCTTGATCAGTAATGTCCACTGTTTTTGCCGCACTAGTTTTATTTTGAGAATAAAGCACATTAAATCAGACATATCGCATGCTGTTCACGTAAGACTGACACAACAGTGGACACTTGGAAGTCCTCAGCCGGTTTCTTTCACTATACTCTGCTTCTCTGAACTTGTACTTCAGTAATCTCCTGTCTTTCATCATGATGGTGTTGTTTCTCCTCTCTTCCTCTGCTCTTTCACATGCCTCTCTCAGCAGCCCTTTGTTGATGAAGAGGATCCTGAAAAGGAAAAGAGGATAAAGGAGCTTGAATTGCTGCTTATGTCAGCTGAGAACGAAGTCAGAAGACAACATGTGTCATCTGTAAGACCTACCTCCTGATCTATTCCTCTTATCTTTCCATGCTGCTTCTATTTCTTTTTGTATATTTTGATTATTATTAAGCTTTTCTTGCATAGCACTCTTGTGCGGCTTAACAGATCTAGCAATCAGTAATACGTTAAGTTACAGATTGTGATTTTTTTATTCGATTTACTGGTTTAAAATGAGCAGAGAAAACACTGGGGACATTTTAGGGTATTCTGTTCTAAAGTGGTGGACAAATGTAAAAGGGGAGGAGTCACCATGGAATATGCCTTTTGGTTCTACTGGTTTCCATGGTGACTGCATCGCATTTAGTGCTATAAACCACATTTTAGACTAGCAAACATTAAAAATTGTTCCCTATTGTAATTATGTACTTTAGTTGTTTATATCTGTGTTCGTCAGATCTGTGGCTAATTGAAAAATGGCTTTAATGCACTATTTTTCTACAAGAGTAAAAACTCATTCCAATTGGAATAGTGTATAGTGATGCTGTGGTATGGAGGTACATCAGTTAGATGTGTAATTGTGTAGAGCGATCTGTTCATGTAGTTTAGCCTGATGTGTGTGTGTTTTGGTCTCTTTTTTTTTCCCCCAAGTTTTGTTTATATCATCTTATAGATCATGAACACTGCATATACATTAATTCAATTTCTTTTTTTCTTTCTCGTTTATTGTCTGGTTATTATTCAGACTTTAGAAAATTGCATATTCCATGTTAACGTCCTGTCATTCAAATATCAAGTCACTAGCCAATGCTTTAAAAAGGCACAAGGGTTTTTTGCATAGACAGCTGTGCTAAAACTTCAGGATAAACTGACGTTTGACAGTAAATAGCTGAAAAAAAGGAAGTTGAATTTTAACCTTGTGTATATGCAGATTGTAGTTTTTCTTTTCTTTAAAAAAAAAAAAAATTATTTTATTTAATATTTACAAATGATGTAAAAGAAGAGACCATACAAGAAAAAAAATGCTTCAGTTTCTCCTGGTATAGAGATACAAAATAGATAACAGTGACCCAATACAAGCTATGTGCAAGTATGTAAGTAACTCTAACACCCTGGTGAGGTCCCCTTAACCTTCATCCACAAAGGAGTACAAACACAAAAAAGTATAAGGCAGAGTATCTTACATACGCTTTTCAAATAATCCTATGATATGACATATCATAGGATTATTTGAAAAGCGTATGTAAGATACTCCGCCTTATACTTTTTTGTGTTTGTTCTCCTGGTATAGAGATCTACTATAAGGTGCGGGTGAGAAGACTATATTTGTGTCCTTGTTTCCTCGGTTCAGAGTTGTAAAACAAAATCCAAAGAAACAAGCTGATCTCCTACGTCTTCCCCAAAGTATTGCCCTAAAAAGGTCAAAAATAGATTTTAATTTGCATTGCACTTTACATTTGCAGAATATAAAAAATGAATGTTAAAATAAATATTAAAGGAAGATCAGACTGCTGCTGATCAGAAGGCAAATGTAGGGCAAATAGCTTTTTTTCCATAAGTTTAAATTAAAGTGATAGAAACTAGGAGGAAGGTACGAAATAATATCCACTGTTTTGATATTGCCAGCATGGACAGGTTGGTGAATAGTTAGTAAGTAAATGTTATATAACACAACCACAGCAAAAAAAAAAAGCAAAATTCAGTACTCAACAAGGACAACTTGGGAGAGAATCCGCACGCAGATCAATAATTACTTTGAAGAGGAACAGTCATTATATTACGGAGTGGCTCATGCATATATAGTTTAAATAAGAAACATTATCACTAAATGCTTTCTGTGGCTATTCTTTATAGCTAAAGGCTAATGAAATGATTAATAATCTGCAGTATGTTTAAACATGCTTGTTGTGTATTCATTTACACCAGGTGCAGAATGTTGCTTCAGGTTATATAGCATATTCCTGATTCAAAAATTTAAATCTCATTTATTTTTATTAGGAAAAATCTGCTTTTGATGAATTAAGCAGTGGACATATCTCATATATACTGATCTGTAACAGCATTGTCTTTCTAGAAGTTCTTCCTTCCATTTATCCAAGTCCTTCAGCCATGGCTGGCCATATTAAACATGGCGTTTTAGAAGAAGACATGATTTAGAAGTTAAATGAACTAAGCAACACATATATATTCTATATTCCAAAGAAGAATTTTGCTTTGTTACTGCTTTGCTTTGTGTCTTAACATGCTGACTGCTAAGATGTATTTTCTTTTTTCTTTTTTTTTTCTTTTTTATTAATGATCATAAAACCTCACTCTGTTCGTTTTTATTCTCTCTTTTCTTAAACAGTCTTCAAGTTTTTCAAGCTGGTCTGGAAGTTTTGTAATAGAAGACAGCATGTCCAATACTCTACATAGTGTAGATGACCAAACAAGTGACTTCTACAGTCTTGAAGAGACACATGACTCATCTGGTCACCACAGCTCTCCCAGCAAGATTTTGCTTGTAGAGGCTAATGCACAGTTTTCCTCTTTAGAGACAATCCCAGAATTTACGGAAACATTAGATCTTATTGGAACAGTAAGTGATTGTTTTTCTCTTTTAGTCTTATAAAAAAAGGAATAGATAAGTGTATGTAATATATCTATATCTATATCACATACCTCTGTGTGTGTGCCTATTGTACCTATCATCAACCTACCAGTGGATTTATTACCAACAAATGCATTGACACAGTCAGTAGTAGGCAAAGGATGAAATCAACAAATGAAGGACATGAGAAATAGTAAATACAATAAACCATTTTTCGGTTTAAGCCATAACCTACAAAAATAAAGTAAATATGTGATGCTTAGTGGTAGTCTGTAAATATTTATAGGGAAAATAAGCGCTGTTTTGGAGGAAATTGATGAAGCTAAATACATTTTGCATAAATCATTGTTACACAGCCAGATCTTCTTTTATTATTATCATTATATACTACACACAAAATTGGGTGCTTAAAAATGTTTTGTTTTGGTTTTGCCTTGGCTCACAGGACCACACTCCATGGAATGATATCAGTAGCTTTGAGGTTTCCATTGTACCGTCTCCTGCAAAACTTACTCCCATTAAACTGATCCCAGTTCAGCATGAAGGTGGACAGGACTATCAGATACATTGCAGACTGGGGCTTCCAAGTGGGCACACTGTTATCAGTGATGACCACGGTTCCACCAAATCTCCTGTTGTATCAAAATTTAGCACACCTCCAGCTATTCTCAGGAAGAAAAAAATACGATCACGCCCATCTTCCACAACTAAAATGAATGAAGAATTGGACTCCAACAATGTTCGAATTAAGGGTACTCCTGTTAAAATGCTCCCATTTTCTCCTTCACAGGTAAGGAATCTTTTGTTTTTAAAAATTTTGCTACAAATGTGCATATATATATATATATATATCCTCTCCCCCATGTTCACATTTTTGTTTCTAGTGTTGACCTATAAGCATTGTTGAGGTTAGTTCTTTTTGAGTACTGGAGTTTTTCATTCATAATCATTTATAGTGACTTAAATAAGTTGTATATGAACATTTTGTGTACATAATCACATGTGCTGACTTAATGACTTTTTTTAAATCAATATTGCTGCGATTTTATGGAAACCTAGGAATTGAAAACTTGATATGGTTTAACAACACTTGTTTCCAGTTAGCTCACATTATTGAACAGTGACGAGGCAGTATGTGTTTTATACCTGTATAATTATTATAATAATTCAAATGTATACACATAGTAATTAACCGATCGAAAATATTTTTTCTTTAATTTTATTAAAGTTCTTCAATATCAGTTCTGGAAATGTTCAAGAACAATTCAACCTTGAGAATCCATCATTCACTTCAACTCCAATATGTGGCCAGAAGGTACTTACAACTCCTCTAAGGAAGCAGACAACGCCAAAAGAAGACAAAGAAAATGTTGGGTAGGTCCCATGCTAACTGCAGAGATCTTCTTCATCCATAGGTGTCGTGTGGAATTATACAGCATGATATCTTTTTTAGAAAAATCCCACTTTTATAGTTTAACTAAAACACACATGGTTTTCATGAGTTTCGAAATGCTCGTCTTCTCAGTGACCCTTCAGTCTCCAAGAGTACTTTGCTTAGCAGCTGAACTTTAAGAACTGGCTGATGTGCGATGGCTTTTTTGTTCTAATATGCTGACTGTCCATTAAAAAGTTCTTATCTTTATGATTGACAGGAGACTCATATCAAACCTGCTTCTACTTTATTCTCCATTTCTGCTTCTGATGGAAAATAAATATCATCTGAGCCTCTTTATTGAGGTTTGGAGGCTTAAGTTTATCCAACAAGTAGTCCATATCCTTTCAAGAATCAATACATTGGTTGTCGGTGTTGCCATTTTGCCTTACTTCTATGAGCATGTCAACTCTCAATGGGCATACAAGATCCATTTTTTTTTTTAAATTTAAAACACCTGTAGGTTTCAGATCATACGTTGTATAAGCCTGTCACAACGCCAATGTACCCCATTTTTGGCAGTTCAAGAGGCAGGCAGACTTGTTTCTTTTTATCTTTTACTTTACCACCTGATGTTGTGGTTAACACTGGGGAAAACAGATTGTAAGAGCAGGAGTAAAGCTTTGATAGGTTTGTTCTGCCTCTTCAAATGTTAGGGACATTTCCATGGATCACCACCACAGTATAAACGGAGTTCATCAATAAGCATACATTGTGCTTTTAATTTGCAAATAAATGCCAAAAAATTAGAATATGGCATCAGTTGGGCCAAGTTGTAAACATACCTCATACCACTGTGGTCTACTACTTGGAAATCGCAATCTAGACAAACAGGACTGTGTTAATTTCCTATTACATCAAATTAGACAGAGTTCAAGAATATCTGCAATACCTCCTTCAAATAGTCCATGGTAGCACTGGTTGACTCCCATCTGCTTAATTATAACTCTAATTAAGGCATTCTCCTAATACGTGTTGTGATATTGAAGTAAAAGATTAATTGTTGAATTAGGTGAAACTACGTTGTCCCACATTTTAATGGTAAGAGAAGTATGCTCTTCAGCTGTGATGATATGGATGCTGTTCATGTAATACAGTAGAACCTGGTCGATGGTTAATAGATGCATAAAATCTATGTGATCTAGTTGGACAGGAATAATTAAAAATCCTGATTCTTAAGCCAGTCCTCAACCCACGATCTGGGATCCAAACCCTTTAAGGCCTGCAGGCTTTATTTCACGAGGTCTAAAGTACAAGCCATATACTTTTTTTGAAGTGAAGCATTGAAAGAGAAGGAAGTTATAGTGGATGCTGGTTCATATGGACAGACGGGGCACTAAACCCTCCCACGCCTGTTTGTATTGACAAAAAATAATTATTAAAAAAAATCTAGTGGGGGACCAGTGAGAAGGTTAAAAAATAAAACAACATGTGTTTGTCATGATTATATTTGCAGTTTTCTCCATGCTGCTTATATATTGCTGGAGATGCTGCTGAGAGGCTGAGAAACTAACAGTGTCAAGATTTTGGAAAATGTTCTGGGTATTAATCCATCACGTAGACTTTGTATGGGGCCACTAGATCCCAGATGCCTTAAGACAGGTCTGCATATTATCCCGTCATTGGGTAACAGTATCAGGGGGGTGAACCTGGTCCTCTTATAAAGTGGTACATGTATCTGTAGATTTATATCGTTGTCTTATTGGGTTAGGAGTAGAGTACATGAGGTTAAGCCCACAATCTTTAAGCTTCCCCAACTGCTACTGGTAATTCCTTATTTCATGTTATGCAAGCCCATACTGTCCTAGTAAGAGGCTGGTGGAAGTAAACTAAAGAACACTTCATATTCTGACATTCTGTTTTAAATAAAGTTTCAGAACACCCACCATAAGGAGATCTTTATTGGGAAACACCCCAAGAACACCCACTCCATTTAAGAATGCTCTTGCTGCCCAGGAGAAGAAATATGGCCCTCTGAAGGTTGTGGTATGTATTTGAGCTGTGTTATGACTTCAGTGGGGGCAGAGTGACACTGATTGACTAATTATATGACTGTTTGTTAAATGTGGAAGTCAACCAAAGGAGTGGCAAGATGGGTGCGGATTATTGGTCTGATATAGGGTTGGAGCAGTTTTTACAAAATTTTCCATGTACTTGGTTTAGAGACTTTCATAGTATGTTTACAGAAAATGAATCCTTTAAGGTTATTTTTTGGTGACCGTTGTCCTTTTCATTTTTCCCTTTTTTTTGCATTAAAAGCGCTGTGTTGTACATTATGCTAATCTATAGTTTTGTTAATTGCTCTTATTCTAGTGCTTGTGTGCTTTTAAAATCTAGTTCAATTTTTTTCTCGTTGTCTAATCCTATTTAAAACCAACATACATATAAAATAATCTGGAACCAAGCTTTGAAGAACAGCAACTCCCTTCTACATGTTGTTGCTGTTTAGTGTAGTTTTTATTTAGATTCCAGGATTTCTGATTAGATCCTTCTTTAGTAATATATGGTATGCTAGCTGTGGTAAAGTGTAAACGTGAAGCTAAATCTCTCCTTTCCCCTTGCCTCTTTGTCCAAATATTAGGCACAGCCCCTAGCATTTCTTGAAGAAGATATCCGAGAAGTGTTGAAGCAAGAGACTGGGGCAGACATATTCATTAAGGAGGAAGATGAACAGATTTGTAAAACACATAAACAAGAGGTAGGGTTTATTTATTTATTTATAGTATCCCCAATGTGATACCCGTATCTTACACAAATGTTTTATTTCTAGCGGAGGTCTGCTGTAAAAAAAGTCAGAAAATCTCTGATGTTGGATGCCTGGGATAAAGAAGAGCTTGGTGCTCAACTGTTAACAGAAGACAGTGATTATGATCTACATGTAAGTCCATATTAAACTGTGAACAAAAACATGTTAAATTAGAGCATCCGTGCTGCTAAAGCAGTTAGAAAAATAGCCATTTTGTTAATTACAGTTTATTTCACATTATTGGATGTATTTACTAGACCTTATTTCAAAGTCACTTTAAACCTCTCCAAAATGTATTGCAAAATATTGGATTTGGCAAAATTCTTTATTTTGTATTCTATTTTGGTGTGAATATTTAATGCGGTTTCTTAGTTCACTGCAGTGTGTTGCTTAATGTACAAGTCCCATAGTTCCTCCTAAGGATGTTAGTTGTGGGTAACACTGCTTTCTTTTTATTATTTAAAGAATGAAAACACCATTTCCACATCTTTATTAATGATACCATTGGCTGACACAGAAGACATAAAGTGCAACATAAACAATGAAAAGAGACCTGGGAAGAAACTTAGCCCTATCTCAAACAATTACACATCGGAAAAGTCTGTTCAGGTGTGTGGAGTAGACTCCTCTGTGATGTGTAAAAACAAAAACTGGACTTTGACAGAATTAATAATATTAACTTAATAATATTGATGGTGGTCAAGCCTTTAGCCAATGGCATGGTGACACTAATATGTTTTTTTTTTTTTTTTCTGCCCAGTCGCTTTGTGAATGGGAAGCTGTTGTGTTTGGTAAGACAGAAGACCAGTTGATCATGACGGAACAAGCAAGAAGATATCTCGACACTTATAAAGCTACTACAAGCTCTACATCAAGACACCTAATCTTATGAATACGGAGTTTGATCTTGTGTAAACCTTCTTACTCTGTGCACTAAAATAAGACTATATTTTATTCCAGTAGGTACCATAGTATTTGGTTTGCTGCACTACATTTAAAATGACTTTTCACTTGTAACCTTGCCTATCCATGGATACTATGGTGGTTGAACTAAATGGTTTGACGCAAGATGTTCTCATGCTAGCCAGATCTATTTTTTTATTTATTTTGTATAATTTTTTTTTATTTTTTTTAAGATCTTGTAGGCCTTTGCAATGCTTGCATTCCTGGCTTACCCTAAATAAAGGTAAAGGAAATAGCTTTTCATATCCCAGGATCTTGAGAAGGTTCTGTATTTCCATTGGTAGAATCTGATAGAAAATGGATTGTACATTGATCAGATAAGTGCTTCTTCCTATCCTTATTCTTTTCTGAAAGAAGAACTCTGATGTTCACCAGTCAAGAAAATGGTTCTAGATCAACCACAGTTTGATCTAGAAAATTGTGATCTTCCCCATTTTATTCCTGTTAAGCCTGAGTCTCCTGTTAAGTAGTAATACTTGCAAAATTTAACAGGTGTGGGAAAAAAAATCATCATTATTAATAAACAGTTGGTTTTTTTTTTTTTTCATATAGCAGAATTTTGTCAGGACTTTTCTGTCTTGTTTTTGGTATTTGGAAATCAAAACTGAGGTGAACATTCAGTCGATGAGCTTAATCTTTGGATTTGTTTTTTTTTGTTTTTTGTACATTTTTTTTTTTTTTTTTTAGTGCTTGTTGTTTTCCGATAACTGCGTGTGTATATAAGAGCTTTGCAGTAATCGCTCAATTCCAAATATAATTTTGGATGCGTTGTAAATGTTTGAAAGGTCAGTATGTTGCACTACTAGAAATTGGTATGCTCTACAGCAAACACATCTGTGAGCTACAGTGTTAAATATTTGTATACTAATGGTACAACAAGCACAGGTAGAGTAATGACAGAATTGAGATTTTACACTTAGAATGTATCAGTATTTTTCATTCTCCAGCTGAGAATTTTGCTGTGATCTATGTTGAATGTATTGCTGCAGGGTTTAGGAGGAAGGAAAACCTTGTCCAGAGGAGTCTGTTTTTTTTTTTTTTCTAAATTATTTGAATGCTTGTGAGTAGAGAAGTCTATGTATAAATGTTTATTGTCTCTAGAAGGTAAAATATCCTGCTTTTAGCAGTTTTTCATCTTTCAGAATTCAAACTAACATCCCTTTTTCAGCAAATTCCATTTACTGAAAATGTCAGTTAGAAGGTGAACGAGGAGTGTTTTAACATGAGTCCTAACATGTCAGTAACTACTAATAAGCTTAATCCCTATGCTATCATACATGACTTATTGCACTATACCTTAAATCATGTAAATTAAAAGCACAAACCATTAGAGAAGCCGTCTGGGTTCTGTAAACCCACTGTCTCAGTGTTGTTACATTGGATGTCATTGACACAATTGAAACTTTTTTGTAATCATTGAACAGGCGGTCACTTTTTAGTTTTTAGATAAATGGTTTTGCGTAAGGTATATTTTATGCATTTGGCCTTTCTAAGCTTTGCACGTTATAAAAAAAAAAAAGCAGGTGACAACAGTTTGCTCCTTTTGCCTATTTTGTAGGTGTTTGCACTTATTATTTATTCTGTTTTTTGTTTTGAAGGATCAACTTGCTTGTAATATAGAAAGTGTACTATATGTAGCATAATGGTGTGTGTATGATGCTGTACTGTAGCTTTTTTTCCCCCCTTTATTATTTGTTATTGCTTTATTTATATATCTTAAGTTCCTCTCCACGTCCTAGGTGTGCTGATATATAATATATATAGACAGCAGAATCGGCTTGCTGCTACAGAGAGATGGAATTAGACAGCATTGCATGCAATATACAAGAATTGTAACACAACAATGACCCAGTCTCAACTTCCTGAGTAGAGGATCAACCATTTCTTTGAGGTAGAGCACTGGTCTCTTCCTATAAAATATCAGACATGTCCTCAAGGTTTTTATTGAAGAGCTCCGATAATACGAGTGAGAATTTTCTGCTTTATAAACGTATCTTTAGCAGCGAGCTAGCAGATGTGAGGAGTTAGTGTTTTTAATATCATTCTGGAACTATGTGTTCTTTGATCTAGTCAAGGTTGTAGCATTGCTGCCTACCTTTTATAACTTATTTTTATCTAGTTTTTTTTTTTTTATTCAGTTATTCTGAAATCCAGTCTCTAATCGTTACTAAGCATCCATCACTTCTTAGTACCTATGTTTGGGGAATCATTATATCATGGATTTGTGATCCTTGGTTGGTGTAAAGTACGCTTGTCTTGTAAAAATAACTTGGTGTCACTTTATAAAGAACTAAATTCAGTCTACAAAAAGTGCTGGAAAAAGCATAGATTTTATTTTTTTTATTTCCTATGTGGGCTGTCAGTTTAGAGATAAACTAAAAATATAGAGTCCATGTGTGGCTATGCGTGCAGATACCCAGCCCCAAGTGACTCAGAGGTGTTCCATAATCACTAGTTTACAACTATCCTCTAGTGGAACTGTTCATTTGGCTAAGATTGTGTGTACACAGCTTTCCTCAATTACTGTCAAGTAGTCAGGTGGTGAAGGAGGAGGAACAGATTTTAATCTATTCATTTTTGTTAATTTTGTCAGACGAATGCATTGATTTAGATGTAACCAGAAGTTTCATGTTTTGTGGATGACTGGTCCATGTTAAGAGCTAGAGCAGTGGTTCTTAACTCAAATTACGGTCGTGGAATTAAAACATGTAAATAAAGAAATCTAATAGCTAACATTAAATACATTTTGCAAAACAACTTAGTGTCTTGGTTTCTCCACTGCATTTGTTAAAGCCATGCTGCTAAACTAGTTTATGGTTTGCCGTTGCACATGGCCTGCTAAATATGATATGCCTAGTCCTACCAATGGGGACCCAAAAAGGCATGAGTACCAGGTTTTCTTTTTTTTTTTTTTTTTATCCCGTTCTAAGAGTTAAGAACCATGTCCTAGAACAGGGGTAGGCAACCCTCGGCACTTCAGATGTTGTGGACTACATCCCCCATAATGCTCTTACACCCATAATGCTGGCAAAGCATCATGGGAGGTGTAGTCCAAAACATCTGCAGTGCCGAAGGTTGCCTATGCCTGTCCTAGAACATTTTCACAACCAACTGCTCCACCATGGGTTAGTGAACCCACATACACATCAATGTGTACATTATTAACATAATTACATGATTTGTTGACCAACCTATTCATTAACAGACTTTACATATCATCAGTTGAAGAGTTACTGTCCCTTTTTAAACTACAGACCTACTCTTAATCGGGCAGCTGGTATTTTTAACCTCCTTATTTTATTGCCTAATTTTTAGATTCCTGTGTTAAGCACCTCCACATTATCTTGACATGGTCTCCTGTTGTGTATCAATATTCTGTGTTTTCCCTATAACTATGTAGTACACTACATGCTTTTAATATTTAGCAGTTAAACAGGTAAGGAAACTGACAATACTATTCAAATATGGAACATCATTCGGCAACAAATGATCTTACATTTGTTGTCCTTCACTCACTCCCTTTTTTCCATTAAAAGGGAATGGTGTTTGTAAGCTTGGCCTTATCACCAAACACAAATCCTATAGTTTAAAGTAAGCAATATTCCGTGAATTCTAGCATAAAACGGCTTGGGTTTACAAAATATTCTGTGTCTTTATTCTTACAAAGTTGACTTTTTTTTATTTTTATTTTTAGTAAATTTTGTTTTCTGATGTCCTGAAATAAAATGTCTTTATAACTAATATGTTGTCTGTTTTTTTTTATTTTTATTTTTATGTTCTTCTTAATTTAAAAAAAAGTATAATGAAATTTATAAACTGACTTTTGCAGGAATTTATTGCAGGCTTAGGAATGCATAGTCCATATTTAGTTCTAAAACATTATTAGGATGGCTAGAACAGGAAATCAGAAGGTGGAGAATATAGGGTTACAGGAGATTCATTTATTTCTATTCAACACTATGCAAGGGAGGTCATGTAAACTTGGTAGAAGCGTACTGCTAATCTATGCAGGAAACAATTCAAAACTAGAGTACTAGGTTTTGGTTTTTTTTTTTTTTTTGGTTTTTTTTTATAGGAAGGTTTGGCATTTTTTGCTCTAGTTAACTACTTTTCCTCTAGTCTGAGCTGCTGTGTTTTGTAAACATTTTCAGACTGCTGTTGTCCTCTGTAAGATTTTGGAACAGAATCTTGATATGGACGGACTAGGGGTGAGCGAGTGACCCTTGCTGACAGATTGGCTTCTTCTTTTTAGTGATATTCTCAAAGGTGGCTGGCAAAGAGAATAAAAACTGTGCTATGGTCATTACATGTTTGCAAATCATTTTTTAATAATGATAGAAAATAGGCAGCTATAGTATTCGCCCCTGATGACCACTGCCTTGTTAAGTAGTTCTCAAGTAGGATAAGAGGCTACGCACCAAGCTCCAAATTTGTTAGGGCAAGAAACAATACCATTCTGCAGTTATCAGAGTAATTGGGAGAATGAGTCACAACTGGCTCACTGTGTTGAGAGAGAAAGGTATGTGTCTTTATTTTTTTTTGACGTTTGCATATGTATTTGATATGCTTTTTTTTAGGTTCAAGTTTGTGTCACTGGTAATGAAAGTGTTTGTTAGTGGGAGATGTTAGGGCACCTTGTTTGTGTATGTATTTGTATAATATAATTGCCGTCCACGTCATGTTAAAATTGTTTTAAAATATCTATTTTGCATGATTGGTGACCATCCATAAACCTTTGCCCTATCTCCTTAGAGGTTTACATGTGGCACTAATCCCATCACCTTACTTGTTACTTGCGAAAATGCAAATCAAAGAAGCTGCGTGATGAATTGAATGCTTGCTTCAGGTCAGCTGTAAAGAGTTGCTGTGGCGTGCATTAATCCCAATGACTGGCTATTGTCTGGGCAGCCTGCTTCTCCAGAGAGTGAATGCATCTGATTGTGCTTTCAGCATGAACCTCATGCTGTGCAGTCAATAGCCCTTCTGTTCTCAGACCACAGACTTCCTCTGGATCATTTCAGAAAAATGTGTTGATTTATAACCGAATCTCTCACCCCTAAGTGATATGATGCCTGATGTGGTGAATGCAGGTGCTAGTGTATGTGCATGCAGTGTCACAACTGACTGATAGAAGAAAAAATATATATAAATATAGAAAATTTATCAACGCATGTCATGCAAATAGGGGAAGCAGGTGGCAGCATTTTTTTGTTTTTACACAAATTAGTATGCCATTATTTGTGTGTGTGTGTGTGTGTGTGTGTATATGTATGTATGTATGTGTGTGTGTGTATGTATATATATATATATATGTATATGTATGTGTGTGTGTGTGTGTGTATATATAATTACACTCACTTCACACACAAAATTAAGTCTTACACTCCAACTCCTACTACTGCTGAACAGTGGCAGCAATGGATAGTATGCTCAGCCTAAATACATAGAGCAAGAGAAAAAATAAAAATATTACCTGCGCTCCATCCCAAATCCCTATGCAAATTTAAATATGCTTTATACCAGTGCTCATGGACCACCAACAGTCCAGGTTTTGTCAGGATCTCCATTGGAATAAAACAGGGAAATGCATAAATCTTAGACTATTGGTGGTCCATGAGGACTGGGTTGGGGACCACTGCTTTATATCACTCAAATGGCCATTAAACTGCAAGCTCATCTGCCCCATCATGCCAAACCTATACTAATATTTCACCTTGCTGTTTTCAGCTAAAAAGCAGTTTTTTTTTTTTTTTTTTTTCAAATGTGCATAGGTATTTGGAATAGTGTGCACGTAAGTTTGTTTTGTTTGCTTTTAATTTATGTAAATACACTTCTCATCCATGAAAACTACTGACAGGTGAACTTCACATTGATCATGTTGTTACAATTGTCAATGGGTGGGCCATATCTTGAATTCCATGTGTTGGAAGCAGGAAAAATGGTATCTGAGTGACTTTGACAAAAGCCAAGTAGTTATGTCTAGATGACTGGGTCAGAGCATCTTCAAATAGAGAAAATTTATGACAAACTTACCGTAATTTTCTTTTCCTGGCTATTTCTCATGGCAGCATCACTTATGGGTAGCTCCTCCCTTAGCAGTCACAGGACAGGAATTAATTAGATTAATTAATCAGACTGATAGGTATAAGGAGTCCCTCCTCCCCCTACACCTCAGTCCAATTATAAAGCTGAAATAAAGAATGGGCGGGAACCCTGATGCTGCCATGAGAAATAGCCAGGAAAAGAAAATTACGGTAAGTTTGTCATAAATTTTCTCTATTCCTGGCTAATCATGGCAGCATCACTTATGGGTAATACCCAAGCTTCACAGAAAAATAGGGTGGGAATAATAATCCAAGAAATTACACAAAACTGAAACACATGCAGCAAAGAAAAGTTTAATATCAACGGGATAAAGAGACCGTAGACAGGACACTCTGTCCAAAGGAGGTGGAAGAAGACTGCACATCAAGTTTGTAGTGCTTCATGAATGACATTGGAGAAGACCAGGTGGCTGCTCTGCAAATATCATCGTATGGAACCTCTGCACAGCTAGCCCATGAAGTTGATAATGCTCTAGTAGAATGAGTTCTTATCTCCCGAGGTGGTGATATACCTTTAGAGATATACGCCTTCTTAATTATCAGAGAAATCCAACGTTTCAACGTAGATAAAGAAGCCGCCTCACCTCTCCTTGCTCCCAACGGCAAAACGAAGAGTTGGTCCGTTTTACGGAAAGACTCAGAACGTTTAAGATATGCAGACAAGCAGTTCATGACATCCAAACGTTGCCATCTAACCTCCTCCTGAGAAGAGGGGTTGGGGTAAAATGATGGAAGAACCACTTCTTGAGAGAGGTGAAACTGAGAAACTACCTTAGGAAGAAACTCTGGTTTTGGTTTCAGACAAACCCCATCTCGGTAGAATCGTAAACAAGAAGAAGATGTAGAAAATGCCTTAATTTCTGAAATCCTTCTTGCGGAAGTAAAAGTTTTATACGTCAGGAGAGTAGCATCCAAACTTTCAAGAGGAACAAACAGATCCTCAGTGAGATAATTGAGCACCATAGGAAGGTCCCAAGGAGGGGTAGTAGATCTGGAAGGAGGCCTCAACCTGAAGGCCGCTTTGAAGAACCTGGAAATCAAAGGATCCGAAGCCCATGAGAATGTTGCACAAAGCTGAAAGTGCCGAAGACTGAACCTTCAAGGTGTTGAGGCTAAGGCCCTTGTCCAGGCCCTCTTGCAGAAACTCCAAACTTCAGTATTGCTAGGATGCCGAAAGTCCACATTATGAGACGATGCCCAAGTTTGGAACACATCCCAGATCCTATGCTAGCATGAAGAAGTAGAAGCCTTTCTGGAGAGCAGAAGGGTAATGATCACCGCCTCCGCGAGACCTATTAATTGGAGTCTTTCTTCTCAAGACCCATACCCCCATTTTGAGGCATTCCGGATGAGGATGGAATACAGGGCCTTGCGATCACTGGAAGAGGCCAAGGTTGTTCCTGGCTCATCATGGCCAATAGGGGAAACCACGGCCTCCGAGGCCAAATTGGAATTACGGCAATGACTTTCTTGCCTTCCAACCAAACCTTCCGCAGGAACCTGGGTATCATGGGTAGGGGAGGGAAAACATACCCCAGATCGAACGACCAAGGCAGAGAGAGAGCATCCTGGCCCAGTGCCTGACAGTCCGGATGGAGAGAGAAGTAATTCTCCACCTGGTGATTCTGAGATGATGCCATCAGGTCGATCTGGGGCATGCCCCACCGATGAGCAATTTCTGCAAAGATCGCCGGGTGAAGTTGCCATTCTCCCGGAAGAATTTCCTTTCTGCTGAGGAAGTCTGCCGTTACGTTCTCCGAACCTGGGAGATAAATCGCCTTCAGGCCTTGAAGATAGGTCATGGCTATAGCCATTAAGGGAGCCAGCTCTTCCAGGAGCAACCTGCTCCTCGTGCCACCTTGGTTGTTCACATATGAGGCCACCGCTCGGTTGTCTGTTTTGATTAGAACCCAAGAATTCCGTAGCCTCGGCAGGAATCTCAAAATGGCCTTGTAAACCGCTCTCAGTTCCCTTAAGTTTGAGTGTAGGCGACTCTCTTCTCGGGTCCAGTTCCCTTGAGTCCATACAGGACTGAAGTGGGCACCCCATCCAAAAGAACTGGCATCTGTTGTAATAACCTTCCAAGGGGGGTCTTCCAACGGGAAGCCTGTTGTCAAATTCCTCTCGCTCTTCCACCAGTTTAAGCCTTTCCTTACGAGAAGGGGAAGAGATATCATCTGTTCCCAATCCGCTTCCACTCTGTTGAACTGGAGAAGGAAGCCTATTGTTGAAGTCAAGGAACCCAGGAGACTCATGACTTCTCTTGCAGGTGCAGTTTCGAGAACTTGCAGCTTCCTTACTTTGTCTCTGATCTTCGTGACCCTTTCTGGAGACAGGAACACATGTGCAGACACGGTATTCACTACCGTACCCAGGAAAACGATAGTTTGTGCAGGAACGAGGGAGCTCTTTCCCACGTTCAGGAGCCAACCATGGTCTTGAAGAATGTACATTGCCACCGACGTATGTTGAGCTACAATTCCTTGAGATGGACCCAAGATTGATAGTAGGCGTCCCTTAAGTCTATTGAGGTCATCCAGTCTCCTTTTTTGACACACTTCAAGATGGTCCTCAAGGATTCCATTTTGAACGTCCTTACGTCGAGCAAGGAG